CCCCAATCCGGAAGACCAACAGAAAACGGGCCTTGGAGCGGGCTAAGTTTGCTTGTTTGGTTTAAGAAAGTCGGGAGAAGCGAGAAGGAGCGGCGGGGACCGACGCATGTCACCACAGGCCTAAGGGGGTTGGAGAGAAATGGGACCGGGCTAGGCCACGCAACTCAAAAGTGACCACTTGGGACTGGCCCGGGCCCCACCGACTAACACGCCATGGCCCGCTTCCTACCTGTACCGAGCGCTAGAAACCGGCTCAGAGCTCCTGTGTCTGCCACCTCTACCCCCACGGGCCTCTCGGCCTGGCCGCCGCCTGCGCGGTCACCGCGGTTTCAGTGCCCCTGGTGCCTCTAGGACACAGCACCAGCCGGCAGCTCACTCACGCCGCCCCACTCTTCACGTAGCCTCCGCCGTCCGTTACGTCGACTGCGTGCGGGCCCGTCCGCGCCTGCGCGTGGCGAAGGGGCGGGACGCAGCTTCCGGGACCGCGCGAGACCTCACGCACCTCCGCCCAGCGGAGGTGAGGTCGGGGCTGCTGGGAAAATTACATAACCTCGGCCCCTGGGCCGGAACTGCTCACGCTAATCCCATCCCTCTCCGCTGGCATTCAGTCTAGTCGTCACCCTGAAGTGGTGCTCCGGAAGCTAAAGGTGGCCATGCTCTGTGGAACCACGCGGCCAGAGGCACGCGGCGAAATGTTGCCCGGGTCGCCTTTGCAAAAGACCAGCGTTTAGGGGAAATCAACAACTTTGTGTATATGCGGTTTCCACCCAAGTCCCCTTTTCTTGGAATTTTTGGGCGGATCCTCGTCATTGCCATTCTGTCTTCCCCTCCTAGGCCCATTTCCTCTACAGGCAATGGACAACCCTGCCCCAGCAGCAGAGCCCGGCAGCATGGTCTGAGAGGTCTGCGAAGCGTTCTCCGGGAGCATTAAGCCCGGAGCCCGCGGCGCTTTCCGGGAACCGCAGACCCAGGCCCCGCCCTTCGGCCCGCCCTCTGCACTGCGCATGTCCGGCGTGTATATCCCCTCCCCCAGTCGGCAACGGGTCGAGTAGCGCCGGCGAAAGGGGCGGAGAAGGAGGAGCGCGGCGGGACGCGGCCTGGACCGCGCGTACTTCGGGACGTGAGATTCCGCGTCGGCGGGTGTAGTTGCCGCCGCAGCCGCAGCAGTTTCGTGCGAGGTGGGTCTGGACGCGGGGCCGCGACGCCTTGGTCGCCCAGGCGGAAACTGCGGGGCCTAGCCAAAGCCGGGGAGCCGCGGCCTCAGTTAACAAAGAGTCGGCGGAGCCCCTGGGAAGACGGGGAGGGGCGGGGGTGCGGGGCTGAGGCCTGGTGGGGTCCTTCCGAGCCGGGTCGCCCTCCCGCGGCTCCCGCTTCTCCCCGCAACTCTTAACGGAGGCCCCGTTGGCGCTTTACGGAGGCAGCGCCCGCCCCCTCGACTACGGAAGAGATTTCCAAGTTGCCGAGCTCCGCGGAGGCTGGGATGGCCACCGGGAGGATTCTGCTGACCCTAGGCGGCAGCAGTTGGCGGGTGCAAGCCCCCAGTCCGGGTGGGAACTTGAGCGGCAAAAGTTGCCAAATCGGAAGACAGTGAATGACAAAGTGGGTGATGTTGTGTGCAGCCTTGAGTAGATGGTGATTAGTATTGACATCGTCACGCAAACTTTTTTTTGCGGCCTACTTGATGTGAGTAAATAATTTATGTGGAGTTGCAAGCATACGTACCAATAATGTAAAGAGAAACTATCTGCTACGAGTCGAGAGTTTGGGGGAAATGATAGCTTCCTTGTCACTTTGGTGAAGCATTCCCCGTTTGCCCTTTACTCCTTTAGGCTCCAGTTTCCTTTGGCTTCCTTGAATGTTGTTTTATTGCAATGATGTTTCTGTATCTCTTCTCTCCCCCCCCCCCTCTATATACAAGGGGGAGATTATTTCTTAGTCACTGTAACTTTTCAGAGCCAAGCCCAGTTCTGGCACATAGGAGGTGAGCAATAAGTGTTTCATACAAACATTAATTTTCAGACTCTCAGTGGTGAGGGAAAAAAAAAGTATATTGCGTTTTCCTTTACCGAGAAAGGGCATTATATGGCCTCATTTGCAATTCATTCACTTAAGAAATATTCTTATTGATGCCTACTATGTGTCTATTCCTTAGCACTGTTTTAGGGTCTGATGTCCTCTTCCCTCCCGCTCCCCTCCCTCCCTCCCTCCCCCCCCCGCCCCCCGCACCGGCCCTCATGAAACTTACTTTCTAGCGGAGGAAAGAGAGACAGTAAGTAGATCTATAAATTATACTGTAAATTAGATTATTATTAGTGCCTTAGGAAAAAATCCAACTGGGATGAAAGATGGGAGGTGTTGCATTTTGAAGTAGGGTGGTCAGGAAAACAGATAACCTAATATTTAAGCAGATTAAAAGCAGGTGAGGGAGTGAGAGCCCAGCCAGTGTGGGGGAAGGAATGTTCTAGGCAGAGGTTAGCAAGTTAAAGGCCTGGAAGCGGACCCGATGTGCTGTAGCACTGGAGCAAAGGAGGTAGTGGTAGGAGATAACGCTCTGGGAAGAAAAAGAAAAGAATTGGGGAAAGGAGCAGAACTACCAGGACCTTTTAGGCTCTTGAGGATTTCACTTTTGCTTTGCTGGAGATGAGAACCATCTGAGGGTGTTTTGTTTTGTTTTAAATATATTTTATTGATTTTTTTACAGAGAGGAAGGGAGAGAGATAGAGAGCTAGAAACGTTGATGAGAGAGAAACATTGACCAGCTGCTTCCTGCACACCCCCCACCGGGAATGTGCCCGCAACCAATGTACATGCCCTTGACAGGAATCGAACCTGGGACCTTTCAGTCCTCAGACCGACGCTCTACCACTGAGCCAAACTGGTTTTGGCCACCTGAGGGTTTTGAGCAGAGGAGTGAAAAGATCTGACTTAGATTGTATTGTGAGTGCAGTTTACATTTTCGTTTTTATCAAAATGATATTAATGTAATCAGCTCTTATTTTCCATTTTTTTTTAATTGCCTCCGGATATATTTTTCACTGATTCCAGAGAGAGAAAAATGGATTATTACTTCCTTTTGCCCCCTACACACACACCACCACCGTGCACCCACAACCAGAGATCAAACTTAGACCCGTCTGTGAACCTAAGGGTGGCCTAAGGTTGAAGATTGACATAGCATAAATCAGATTTAATACTAAAACTGAACTAAGTGCTATATAATTCTAAGATGAGGGAGGGGAAGAGAAGCAGGAAAGTAGAGCATGTTATTCTTGGTCCTTTCACCAATGTCATCATAGAGAGCCATTTTTGGAACCCGTTTTCTACATTTGCTTCAGAGCCCATTATAAACATTTTGATTTTTATTATTAGTTGTAAACATTTAAACAGATATGAAAGTAAAAATCAAATAACTGCAGTTAACATTTTGATTAACAGCCCTCCAGCTATCTCTGGATGTGTTACACATGCTTTTACATTGAATTATGTTGAATCATATCGTCCACCTTGTTCTATGCCCTTTTTATTTGACTTAAGGTGTAATGACACTTTTCCATAAATGTAAGTTATAATTAGAAATTTTATAATTAGAATGCATTTTTCCTTTGTCTAAGCAATTACATTTTAAAAAATGATCCTAAGGAAATAATTCAGGGTGTGCACAAAGATATAGCTATATGATATGTTTCACAACATTATAAAACAGTAGTAGAGAAATATATTTATTGATAATCACAGATGTTCATAGTGTATCATTAGGTGAAGAAATCAGTAACTAATATGTACACTGTGGTTTTATTTTGTTTCAAATTGTGTGTGTGTGCACAACTTAAAAAATAGTGGAGAGCTCTAGCCAGTTTGGCTCAGTGGATAGAGCATTGGCCTTTGACCTGAAGCGTCCTGAGTTAGATTCTTGTCTAGAGCACATACCTTAGTTGCATATCTTAAGATGCCTGGCCGGTGCTGGAGGCAACCAATCAATGTGTCTCATATAGATATTTCTCTCTTTGTGTCTCTCCCACCCCCCACCTCCACCCTTTTACTCTCTCTAAAAGGCACTGAAAAACTCCTGGGGTGAAGATTAGCAACAACAACAACAAAAATAGTATAGAATACATATCTGGGAGAGGAAATTTCAGGTAGTTGTAAATTTTGTTCCTTTACGCTTTCTGAGCTTCCTGCTTTTCTATAAAACTTAGGTAGCCTGTATATAAAAATGGTTTTTTGGAGCCAAGACTAATAAGATGCTATAAAATGTTGTTTTTAAATTGATTGAATTGAAGCTCAGGAATTTTCTTTGGAACCCTTAACCATAGAATTAACAACGCTAAGGCAACAGGGGTTTCTTTCTAGTTACTGTTCTAGTGTGCATTTGCTAAATAAATGCATGGTTCATAAGTAGAGATAATAACGTAGGTAATTTCTACAAATAACTACTTTTAAAATTTTGATTCTTTGAATCTTCGAGCTGTCATCACCAGAAGAAAATGGTTAATTTTGGGACAGCATTGCTGATAGCACCTCAGTCTCTGTTATAGCAAGCATTACATGATATTATAGTTGTAGATTGTTTTTGTGTGTTTTTCTTTTTGTCTGTTTTCCTGGTATACTGTAAACTTCTTGAGGATAAAATTTAAGAGCTTAATTCTTTTCAATGCAATACCACACATCTGACCTTACAAAATATTTGTTGTTTTAGGAGTATTTTTGCAGCTTAACAAATACTAAATTAGCAATCAAATCCTTTTAAAGAGAATGATATTAAATGTTGCATTCCCATTTAACTGAGAATCCAATAAAATAAAATTACTTCAGTGTTTTTGGAAAACCTGACCATTTCATTGCAGTTAGCCTGCTGCATATCTGAAGTATAAAGTTAAAGTTAATAGAGAATGAAATTGAGAATGAAATTGTAGGTAGAGATTGGGAGAGACATAAAATCAATGGGTAAAGTTCATTTTCTATTAATGTATCTTGTTCCTAACAGATCAATCATTGCCACCATGAACTGGAATAAAGGCGGCCCTGGCACTAAAAGGGGATTTGGCTTTGGAGGTTTTGCCATTAGTGCTGGGAAGAAGGAAGAGCCCAAACTCCCACAACAGTCCCACAGTGCCTTTGGGGCAACCAGCTCTTCTTCTGGATTTGGGAAGTCAGCTCCACCACAGCTCCCTTCTTTCTATAAAATTGGATCTAAGCGGGCCAATTTTGATGAAGAAAATGCGTAAGTAACTTCTGATAAATTTAGCAAAGGTTGAGCTTTGAGATAATTCATTCCATCAATAGAAATTGAGGCAAAGATACACTTTGTTTCCAGAATAAAAATAACTTTTTAAATTATCTCACTGAATTGTTGCTACTAAGTTAAATTGTGGAGTTTACTCATTTGTACGGAATATAATGTGTGCTTACTTGTACCTTTACTTGTTCCAAAAAAAGATTTGGGGCCATTGAGACCTAAATACGGCTGAAAAGATTTTAAATAATTCATATGGTGGTTTTTTTAAGTTCTTAATTGAAGTCTTTTATTGACGTTATATAAATTGTTTTGTAAACACAGGCCATTGTCAGAATGTAGGGATGGGACTCAGTTTGCCTCAACATCCAAGTCCTTAAAACTGTTATGTTTTAAGATCTTAATAGTTTTATATAATACTTTAAACAATAAAGAATTTAGCCAAAACCGGTTTGGCTCAGTAGATAGAGCATCGGTCTGCGGACTGAAAGGTCCCAGGTTCGATTCCGGTCAAGGGCATGTACCTTGGTTGCAGGCACATCCCCAGTATGGGGTGTGCAGGAGGCAGCTGGTCAATGACTCTTTCTCATTGATGTTTCTAACTCTCTATCTCTCTCCCTTCCTCTCTAAGAAATCAATAAAGTATATTTTTTTAAAAAAAATAAAGAATTTAAATATTAAAAAAAAAAGATCTTAATAGTGGTAGAAAACAATCTCAGACTTTTGCCCACAGTTCTCAAGAAATGTATTTAGCAATTATCTTTTTTTAACTCTAATAAGGTAGTTATTATAAAAAGATGGGATTTCAGTTCTAATTCCTATAGGTTATAATTTCTGTTTTTCCCGAGTCTGAAGAAATTTCATAATTTCTTACCTGGTTGAGTGACACTGTTTGAAGTTTTTTGTTTGCTTTCTGGGTGTTTTTGCTTCTTTGTATTTCAAATCTTTGACTTGATTCTTGATCCTCAGTCTGCTGTTGGATCTCTTGTGTATTATTCTTTATTTCATTCTAATTTCTAGTTGGTCCTTTTTCATATCCTCGAGGGTCTCACTAAATTTATTGGCCCTTTCTATAAACTTCTTGAAAAACCTTAGAACAGTGGTTTTGAACTCTATATCCTCTTATTTCTTTCATTTGTGACCTGTTTCTTGGTCTCTGCATTTTGGCTGCTTCCTGTTTTATCAACACAGGGCTTTGTATGCTTTGTGTGCTAGGTGTCCTCTATGGCCCAAATGGCTCAGCCTCCCCAGTTACCTGAGGTGGATACTCTTGGTGCATCCCTTTGTGGGCTGTGTGCACAGTCTTGTAGTTAAGCCTTGATTGTTGTTGGTATCACTGGGAGGAATTGACTTCCAGGCCAATTGGCTGTGAGGATCAGCTGTATCTACGATGGAGACCCTCTTATGAGGCAAGACTTGCTTCATTAGGGCTTTGGTGCTCATTGAGTCTGTCCCCTAAGTGTGTCCCTTATGGATCTGAGGAGTTGTAATCTGGATGGTCATACTCTTGATTCCTGGGTACACTGGCTCTTGGTTCTCCAAGGAGGTGCTAATTTAGCCTCTGCAGTTTGTTAGGTAAGTTTAGATTTTAAAGGACCAGGCCATTCATATGCAAAAGCCCTCTATGCACAGCTGGGGTGGGGTGGAATCTCAGGGCAAATCAAAGAATAATGGCTTCCCATCAGCTCTGCCCTAAGAGGCTCCCAGGTCTCAGTGTCCCACGGAAATCACTGCAAGCACCTCTGAGAGAAAACCACCCTCGAGTTTCGCCCGCTGCCAGACAGTCCAGTTTCTCCCCATATGAGTCTGGGTCCCCAGAGTCTGCCCATAACTGCACTTCAGAGCAATCGGGAGCTTGTGTCTCCCTGCGGATTGAAAAAGCCAGCCGCCTACTCAGTTGCTAGCCCTTTCTGTGCTTGCGCCTCCGTACCTCTACACTTTACTTCCGCACTTCTGAGCTCCTCTGAATCTCAGTACTTTTTCCTTCTAGTTGTAGAATTTCCACTTAGCCAGCCTTCCTGTGGTTCTGGATAATGTTTGTTTTGTCTTAGTTGTAGTTTTGAAGTGGTTGTTCGAGGCAGCAAATTCAGGTGTTTACCTATGTTGCCATCTTGGTTTCTCCCCATATTTAGATATTTATATTCATACTATATTTAAATTTATGTATTAAGTATTTGGTTATATTAATATTTAATTTTGAGGTAAGGCATAAATGTTTTTGCCTTGGTTTAGTTTATAAGGAGCTGTATTTTCTGGAATTTTTGTTAGTGATAAAGTGATATTTTCTCCAGGCTTTGAGGGAGAAATACTTAAGTAGTATGATGAATGATTTAAGATTGAGAATATATTTTTAATTCTAGAAGTTTTCTGTTGGTCCTCAGAAAATAGCCCAGAACTTATGATGGAAGTCCCTAGCTTTATGAATATGTCTCTAAAACATTTTTTAAAAATTATAAGAATAAAATTTTAAAGGTTTTTAATATTTCATTTGAAAGTAATTTTTCCATAGCATACATTATTTAATATTTGTTGTATCTATTCAATAATAATATACTAAATTTGTACTGATAACTTAATAATTGGAAATTAATTTGAAGAGTTACTATTGAAATGAGAATCTGCTGTGCCTTTTTTCAATGTTACATAACTAGAGGCCCGGTGCATGAAAATTAATAAACTGGAGGGGGGTCCCTCAGCCCGGCCTGCCCCTTCTCACAGTCCAGGAGTCCTCAGGGGAGAGAGATGACCTAGTGATCAGGTGAAGGCGATGCCCCATCACATCTCTGCTGCTGCCACTGCCGGCAGCGCAAGCCTCTGCTGGCCCTGGTTACCTGAGCCTCGGGTGGCCTGGGTGGCGGGGCAGCTGACATCCAAGGCTTGCCTGTGCCTCAGGCTGGTCCTGGGCGGCTGGGGGACTCAGGGGACCGGGGACTCTGGAGGCAGGTGTTTGGCAAGGCCAGGCCCACCCCGGTCTTGCTGCATGCCTGCCTCCCTGGTGGGGCTGAGGAGACTGAGCATCATCATCTTGTGGCTGTGGGGCGGTGCCATCTTGAGGGCGTGGCAGGCAGTTAGCACATTCCCTTCTTATTGGCTGTGGGTGCTGCCATCTTTGCAATGGTGTGAAGGTCAATTAGCATATTCCCTCTTTATTAGATAGGTTACTGAAATCTTTAGCCAAAGCCTAAAGGTCTCTAATTTGACTTGTGTAGTTTAAATCTCTTAATAGTATCATCTTACCTAATAATGGACAAACATGTAAATTGATCACACCTCCACCACACCCACAGCCAATCAAGAGTGACCATGCAAATTAACCCAACAAAAGATGGTGGATTGATTTGCAGATGCAGAGTGGCCAGGAGGGGTGTGATGCCTGCTATTGGGGCTGGGGGCTGGGAGGGGAGCTACAGGAGCAGTGTTCTGACCAGGAGTGAGGATTTGCAGGCTCCCAGGCGGCCAGGAGTGAAGCCAGAGGAAGGAAGGATGGCTTATTCTTGTACAAGTATCATGCAACAGACCTCTAGTCCTATCTAATAAAGAGGGAATATGCTAATTGACCCTTACACAATTGCAAAGATGGAGGTGCCCACTGCCAATAGGAAGTAATTTGCTAATTGACTGCCCCACCCTCAAAGATGGCGACGCCCAGTCCCCTGAGCCCCGCAGGGGCAGCATGGCAAAGGCACACCTGCCTCCAGAATTCCCCAGTCCCCTCAGCCTCCCAGGGCTGGCTGAGGCGTAGATAACCAGGGCCGGCTGAGGCTTGCACTGCCAACAGTGGCGGCAGCAGACCTGTGATGGGGGCATCACCTTCCCCTGATTGCCAGGTCGCTTCCTGCACCTGAAGACTCCTGTACTATGAGAGGGGGCAGGCCAGGCTGAGGGACCACCCCCTCCAGTGCATGAATTTTCAAGCACCAGGCTTCTAATATATTATAATAAAGATTTCTGTTAAATGGAAGATTCACTGACCCAAACTAAACATTCACTTTAGCAATCACACATCTTATTTTTCAGATACTTTGAAGATGAGGAAGAAGACTCTAGCAATGTTGATTTACCTTATATTCCTGCTGAAAACTCCCCTACCCGCCAGCAATTCCATTCCAAGCCAGCAGATTCTGACAGCGATGATGATCCCTTGGAGGCATTCATGGCTGAAGTGGAAGCAAGTATCAACTCTGTTTTGTTAAAATGCTCAGCAATTAGAAATAGTCCAAAGTAATCTAATGCTTCAGTCCTCATTCAGAATTTGTTTTCTGGCTTTTTTGGGAAAGAATTTTGCTCTTATACTCTAGTTTCGTAAATATACTTTTGCTTGTGCTGTAAACATTGAACATAGTAGCTCAATATTTTTGTGTGTGTTTCATTTTAATAATTCTTGGTATATTCTTTTTTTTTTTTTTTTAATATATTTTATTGATTTTGTACAGAGAGGAAGGGAGAGAGATAGAGAGCCAGAAACATCGATGAGAGTCATCGATCAGCTGCCTCTTGCACACCCCCTACTGGGGATATGCCCGCAACCTAGGTACATGCCCTTGACGGGAATCGAACCCGAGACCTTCCAGTCCCCAAGCCGACGCTCTATCCATTGAGCCAAACCGGTCCCGGCAATTCTTGGTATATTCTTAAATGGAATGAACATTATCTCATTCAAGCTATAGTTTATTAAATACATATTTAAGGCAGTTGCATTTAAGGAACTTGCTAAAATCACAAATTCGTATTCTCTACTTTTAATGTTTATTATTTCTTACTACCAACATTATCATCAGCATTCATGACTTCCCTGTAGAAATTGAAACTTCTGGCTACTCCATACAATTATTCATACTAGGCTCTTATGATTTTGCCTTTTGTCCTTTTCCCCCCCATTTCTGATTTTTCTTTTTATTTATTATTTATTTACTTATTAAGAAAAAAGTTAAACATATACAAAAGTATAATAATAAAAAGCCTCTAACACCTACCAAAACTATTCAGAACATAGACGTGTCTTTTTTTTTTATGCATGTGCTTTTGCATCATGGTAGCAAGTTAGTGAATATATTAAATGATTCTCTCTAGAAGTAAAGACAATAAAGATTTGTCATATTTGAGATGTCTATATATAATCTTCAGATATGGACATTTCTCAAAGGGGTTTATTTCTCATAATTTCTTGAGATATCCTTAGTGATGAGTTAGAAGAAAAATCATTTTCTGGGTTTAAATTTGATTTTTGGAATTGTAAGCTGCCATCACCCTTTTTGAGTGGGAGTATCCAAGCATGGCCTAGATTCTCTTGCTTGGCATTTCAAGTAGTTGAAGCAATTTGGAGATTAAATCTTGGTCTTAGAGTAAATGTTGTTGCCAAAGTATACTGATCTTCAGTATAAAAATTTTTCTAGTGATTAAACTCAAGATAGGATTTTATTTTATTTTATTTTGTGAGGTACGATTTATTTTTGTTTTTCTCTACTCAAGTCATGTGAGGATTTATTTTTAGCCAGTGTTTCAAAAAAGGATTTATGTAGGCTTAACAAATATGTTCTATAAGTGTTTGCCAGCCATTTCTTATGTTACATTGTTTATGTTGTCTTCACTTTGATTTTAGCCTTAAGTACAGGTGGGGCCAAAGTATATTTACAGTTGTTCATATGAAAAATAATGCAATAACTAATAAAAATACACGAATAAACTATGTTTCATGTACTCACAACTCTAAACCTACTTTTGCCCTACCCTGTGTATCTTATATGTGGCTCAATCCCTTGAAAAGTAGATTATGTTAATATTTCTTTTAAAAATTAATTTCTCTCTGTCAGGAACACTTGATTAAATAGGATGCCAGGTTTAATACCCTGGCATTTTTTAAATGAAAGAAGTCAGAAAAATTCATGTTGCTTTATAATAAACTTGTGCAGAATGTGTTTAATCTTGGGAACTTTTAATTTTTCTAACCTTGATATTCACATAAAACAAAGAATTAATTTAGATCAGTGATTATTAATTTTCTTGTATAAGAATGTACCTGTGGAAAATGGGTAAACTACATGTATGCACACAAGGATTCTGGAGCAGGGTGTTGCACCCCAGGACTATTGGGGCTCAATCGTTCTTTGTTGTGACTGTTCTGTGCAATGTTGGATGTTTAGCAGTATTTGTGGCCTTTACCTACTAGCTATCACTAACAACCTCTCCTTCACTCCCCCTCTTGCCCCCAAGTTGGATGATCAGAAATGTCTATAGACATCACCAAAAGTCCACTGGGGACAAAACTGTGACCCTTCTAATCAGTGTCAACTTCTAAACTTGGATTGACAGCAATCTTCCAAAGACAGATCCAGAAATCTGCATTTTTTAATAGCCCCAATGATAATGTGAAGCAAATTTTCTTATGCTGCACCTTGAGAAAGCCTGATTTGCCTAAGCTTAAGTTCTTTGACAGCCACAATTAGTTCATTAACTTAAAAAAAAACAACAAGGACCAAGCATTTTTACTAATTTTTCCATGCATGCTATAAAATGCAGGTAAAAGTCACGGACATTTATAGCCAAGGTTTTAGAACATTTGGGTATTTCTCTGGAAAATTGTTAAGATGTAGCTTGCACCCAAATGCAATTGTCAAAATGTATAGCTAAAAGTATGCTAGTATTTGTTTGAATCTAAAACTTCTTTGTAAAGAAATTTCTTTTTTAGTTGCTATGATTGTATACATCCTTTTGTTTCATTAGGATCAGGCAGCAAGAGACATGAAGAGGCTTGAAGAAAAGGACAAGGAAAAGAAAAACGTAAAGTAAGTTGTTTTCTTCTCCCTCACAAAGTTTGTATAAAAATAAAGTATTGCAACACCTCTATCTCCCAAAATTTATAGAGCTAAAATTAAAATACATAAATTCTTAACTTGAAGTTAGCCCTGTATCTTGAATAGCATTTCTGCAAATGGTAGAGATTACAAAAGTCTTTAAATTTGCAGTATTTAGAAAGCATTTTTTTTTATAAAATGGTATTTGATGTTTTGTAGTTTTTGTTCATTTTTTGTTGGTTTTTTTGTTTTTAGTAAACTCAAGAATGAGTTATAGTTAAAGTTAAGAGAGCATAATTACTAAAGTTTGGGTTCATTGTTCTGAGTTTTGTTTCATAATTAATAAAAATTAGGTTAATGCCTATAGGTTTGATTAGGAGAAGTAATGATGATTATGCCATTTTAAAACTATGTATATTAATAATAAATAAAATTAATTTATTTAAGGAGTTAAACCATGCTTTAGCAATGAGTCAGAACTTGAAATACATTATTTTCTGGGAAAATGAGTTCTCCTCTATCCCTTGCTGCATACACTCCTCTTAAAGTTTTTGCTACCAGACAAAAGTAGGCATGGTTGGACTTCTCCATCTGCTTGGTAATTTGTGCTTCAGGCCCTCCCCAAGGTTCCTGTGCCATATAGAGGTTCAGCCCCCTCTTTGGTGCTTACTGTGTGTTGCATCCCCTTTCAGTAAGCCTGTACTGGTGGTGTAGCTTGCCTTGGGAATAGTAAGTGCTCTAGATTAGGCAGAATGTTTGATTAGAAAGAGATGGTTGTGGGAACTAAGCAACCACACTTTCTAAAGCTCCTGATAGAGTCAGCAAAGGGGTGCTTGTCCCCTTCTCTAGGTGAACTGCTTAGGAGTTTTAGTCTCAAACTTACCAAGAATTTAATTTTTTTCTCTGTCCCCAATTATTCTGTAGCTAAATGTAGTAACTCTAGAGCTAGGGGACATTAAGAAAATTGTGACCTATTTTAATGTACCAAAAGTAGGATTTTTTAAAAAATATAAAATGCTTTTCACAATTGCTTGTTGGTTGTTGTATGGATTGACAAGGCTATGGTCCTTGGGTATATATCTTCAGAAGTTTTTTACTCCTTATACCTTATTAGTAATTGGCATTTCTAGGGGTACCCTAGCACCCCATTCAAAAGAAATGCAAACTGTAGCATATAGAGTGAAATTACACATATATGATGGATGGATAGTTTACAGTGTGCTTATTGCTGCTTTGTTATTATTAGTGTTGAGAATTCCTGTGCTGTATGGAATTCAACACTAATCTGCTATAAGTATGGAGCTGGGTATGTGGAACATTTGCAGGGAAGTTTGTTTCTCCGCTTGTTTTTCCAGGGGTATTCGAGATGACATTGAAGAGGAAGATGACCAAGTGAGTTCCTATGCAGATTTCTATCTTTTATGTTTACCCCACAAAGTCTACACTGGGGACAAGCTAGAGCTTGCCTTCACTGAAATGGCCATTCCTGATACTCAGCAGGGAATGTCATTTGACTTGCTCCTTTTCTTCATGTGTGACCAGTTGGTAATACAAAGATTAACATGGCTTTCATCCATGTTGAAGATGGAACTTTTGATCAACTATGACATCAAAAACAAATATGAGCTTTATTCAGCTTGATTTTTTTTTTTTTTTTTTATAATCTAAACTGATGTGTATTCTTATAAATCAAGAAGTAGAGTAGTGTGGGATCCACTGAGGCCTCTAGCAACATCCAACCTCTACCTCTTTCCAGGGGTTCTGTTTGTGATTTTTATATTTCAAGATGGAACATTAATGACACTCCTATAGTATTTTTTTTCTCATTGGTCAGTTATGGGATGGTGAGAAGGGAACCAAAGTGAGCAGTAGCCTTTCCAGGTTTATGAATCTTCTAATCAGTGTCAACTTCTAAACTTGGATTGATAAAGCCACAACATGTGTTCCACAGCTCTGGGCAGGATAGGTAGACACCCCACCCCAGGAACGCTGTGAAGCAGACAGATTTGTACGTCTTCTGTTAAGTTAAATCAGTTTGTAGTACTGTTTCACTCATTTCTTCTGCTTGTCCCTCCAAGTACTGCTAATGTTAAAGGAATCATTGCTAGTAAGAGACTTCTTACTTGGTAGGTATTTAAGCTGCAGTCATTTGGTACACTGTGTGCACTAATCACAGGAGCAGAAATGTTCCCAATTGTACTTGGTATGATTATGTGCTTGTGCTTTCCTGCAGGAAGCTTATTTTCGGTACATGGCAGAGAACCCAACTGCTGGTGTGGTTCAAGAGGAAGAGGAAGATAATTTGGAATATGATAGCGATGGAAATCCAATTGCACCTTCCAAAAAAATCATTGATCCTCTTCCTCCCATTGATCATTCAGAGGTATGGTGTTTTTTGATGAATTTGATTCTTGTTTCAAGCCAATACAGTTTCTTCAGTGTTAAAAATATCTGAGTACTCATTATCTGAGTACTCCTGATTTATACTCCTTATGTCATAAGAATATTTGTTCTTTGGGATCTTGTCAGCTCTGCTAAACAAAAAGTGACTGACAGGCTTTATAGCCTTAGTTGTTCAAGCTGAATTGCTTGTTCACATCAATTATATGTGAAGAATTTTTTTTTTTTCCCAATAAATTGTACTGGTGGTCTGTGAGGTCTGAAATGTTGATAACGGCTGTTCTAGACCATCATTTAACCAACCATCTTTCTTTCAAAATGGACCTTTAGGCCTGCATTTATTTTTTCATTGCTGTAAGCCTTTACTATTTCTCACAGATCTGGAGCAGAAAAAGACTGTTCTTTCAAAGGCTACCAGGAATTACAGGTTCCTTAAATCAGGAAAAGAAAATGAGGATATTAGTAAATTCACTTGAAAAAAAATCAGTATTTCATTGAGGTTAAATAATAGACTAGATCTTGGATACCCTAGTGATTGTAGATCTCGAACAATGGTTCTCAAGTGTGGTGCAAAGATTCCTGGAACGATCTTTTCAGGGATTCTACGGAGTCAAAGAATTTTCATAATGCTAAGATTTTTTCCTTTTGTTACTGGGTCAGCATTTGCATCCGTGCCTAAAATCAATGGTAGATAAAACTGCTAATAGCTTAGCATGATCAACAGTGGTAACTAGCCCTGGATGAATTTCTCAATGGTTAGTGTTGACACGGGGACTGAAGAGTTACAGGTTCGATTCCTGGTCGAGGGCACATATATCTGTTGCAGGCTCAATCTCCAGCCCTGGTCTCTTTCATGTCAATGGTTCTCTCTCTCCCCTAACTTTTCCCCACCTTACTTCCTTCCCCCACCTCACTTCTTTCCACTCTTTCTAAAAAATATTCTCAGGTGAGGATTAAAAAAGACAGCGGTATCAACTGTTCTTGTAGTCAATATATTCTTTCCTGCTAGACTATCACAGTTTAAAAAAAAAAAAAAAAAAAAAGCCAGCTTCACTTTAGAATATCTTTGAAACAGTCCAGCTGGCGTGGCTCAAAGGTTGAGCATCAACCTATGAACCAAAAGGCAATGGTTCGATTCCCGGTCAGGACATGCCTAGGTTGCAGGCTTGAGTGGGGGAGCCATTCAGGAGGCAGCTTATTAATGATTACATCTTATCATTGATGTTTCTACCTCTCCCTCTCCATATCTAAAATCAATAAAAATATATTGAAAGAATAAAGCATTTAGGTGTTTGAGTTGTGAGCTGAACTAGCTGTTTTTCTCATGGAATACTGTTTTCAATTGAGAAAATGAATGACACTTTAAGGAAAACAGAAGTGTTTATTGCCAAGGATAGAAGCTTAAAACTTTCAAACAAAACTTAGAATTTTGGAAACATATTCATCACAGTGAGCTTGTCAGCTTTATTATATGTAAAGTCTGTGGTAATAAAATTGATGGTAATAACTGTGATTTTAAAAATATCTGTATATAATGAAATTTTACCATTTGAATCACCTGCATACTACCTCATAAACCTCAGAAAATGTGTCTTCAAAATGGCCAGTGCATGACATTACAAAATCATGCAGGAATAAAGACTCCCAAAGTATATGATAGATTCATTGGTTATAATGTAACAGACTGTAAAAAGTTCATGATATGGTTTCAGATTATGCAGTGAAAATAACCTATAAGAAATGACTTGTCAAGTTTTAGTATAGAATTGAAGAAGAATAAAAATCCACAAGAATCTGAAAAGGCTGTTAATAAATACTTAATTCCCTTTTCCAACCACATATCTGTGAGGGGCCAGATTTTTCCTGGACTGAAAGCAACCTATCACAACAATTTACATGTAGTAGGAACCAATTTCTTTTGTCAGAAATTAAAGAGACTTCTAAAAATGTAAAACAATGTTGTCAAAGTTATTTTTGTTAAAGCATTTATGTTAAAGTATAATGGTTTATTACAAATTTTTAAAAATACATTTTTATTGATTTCAGAAAGGAAAAGAGAGAGAGAAATATCGGTGATGAGAGAGAATCATTGATCAGCTACCTTCTGCACCCCTTACACTGGTTATTAAGCCCACAACCTGGGCATGTGCCTTGACCAGGAATCAAACTGTTGATGCTCAACCACTAAGCCATGCTGGTCGGGCTGTTTTTTCTTAAATGAATTAATAAATTTAAAAATTTTTGTTTTAATTTTAACACAGTACATATCAATAGCTATAACCCACATAAATGAAAAATCGTGTTTTTGTTAAGTGTAAAGGGTACCTGAGGCTAAAAAGTTTGAGAACCACTGGTCTAGTCAATTTTCTAAATGTTTCCTTTTGCCTAAATGCTATCACATAATGCATGTGACAGGGAAACGAAATATTTGAACCTGATCTAGGAAGAAGTATAGAGTAAAAATCCAGTATAAGGAAAAACATGCAAGTACTTGGAATAATCGTCTAATAAAAATCTTTGACAAAGTGCTCAAACGTCATCATCCTGGGGTATTCCCAGTTCTTATGTAATGGGTAGTCTGTCAGGAGAGACCAGAAATAAGGGAAGATTATCCTTTCTACTTAAAAGTAGCTTTCTTTTCATTCTGTTTCTTCCTTAACATAAAAATTTACATGTTTATATATAAAATTTGTGAACAAAATAAAAATTCTTGCTCTCATGGAGCTTCCATTCTTATAAAGAGAAGTAAAGGAAATGGTAAAGACTCCATTATGTGCAGTAGCATTGTGGGGCTCATAAAAGTTCCTGCCTGACAGGCAAACTGTAAAACCTTTTGTTGCTAGTGCTATAGAAAGATATTTAGGCTTTATCCAGAATTATGACATTTTTGACCACCCAGTAAAGACTTACATTCTCTTTGAATAAGTTTATTGTAAACGTACCATGTTGTCATAAAGAAAATCATTTAACCACATTCCTATGTGATGGTGTGCTTCTGTTTTGTGTTATTAGTACAGTAAGCTATGAAGAATAGCAGAAATTACTTCTTCCCTCCTGGGAATTGGAAATGCTTGGTCATTCCTTTTTTAAGAGTTATGTAAACAGTTCCATGTTAAAAAGAATAGAACTTCCTCTACACACAGATCTGTCCCCAAAGGAAATATTAGAAATATTTTTAAGTGCTTTGAGCTAAGTGAGTGAACAGCTTACTCTAAAACACTTAAATGTTATAGGGTGGGCTATTTTAAAATCTGAAGCCTTTGGCATTGTAAATTCCTTTTTATTTTATCTTTATTTTTCAAAATATTACATGTATCCCCTTTGACCCCTCCCCGCCTTCGATCCCCTTTACCCTGCCCTCTACCCTCCACTCCCCTAAAGTGTTTTTTTTTTTTAAATATTTTTATTTCAGAGAGGAAGGGAGAGGGAGAGAGAAACATCAATGATGGGAATCATTGATTGGCTGCCTCCTGCATGCCACCCTCCTGGGGATCGAGCCCACAATCCAGGTATATGCCCTTGACAGGAATTCAAACTGGGACTCTTCAACCTGCAGGCAATGCTCTATCTCCTGAGCCAAACTGGCTAGAGCGGAAATGTGTTCATAAGAGTCTCTTTAGAAAGCAGGTTGGTGTTTATATTGGAAAATGGGATTAGGGAATGTTACTAGCTGTACTTTGGGGATGTTTGTCATGAATAAGTGAATTCCTTTGTTCTCTGTCTGGTTTTGGCTTTGTAATATTTGTAAAAAGTTATTTTGCATTAAAGTCAAACTCACAGGATTGACTCTTGAATTCTAGACTAACTTTGAATAATTGGACCTGCAGATTGACTATCCACCATTTGAAAAAAATTTTTACAATGAACATGAAGAGATCACAAACCTCACCCCACAGCAGCTAATAGATCTTCGGCATAAGCTCAATCTTCGGGTAAGTCCAACCATTAAGCTAGATATTCTTAATCTTGAATTTCTTTTCTAATGGTCTCTGAACTGTCTTTGGTAGAGTAATAATTATATTGCTTGGGCTCATGTGTCTTGTTTTTATTATGTTAGTCTTCCAGCTCTTTGAGGATAGGATTGTATTCTTGCATGTGACACACATAAATGCTAAATGTGTTCAGTCAACTCTGTATGTTGTATGGAACAATATGTCATCGCACTCTTAAAATTAATCAGCAAGTATTTCTCCAACAAATACAGTGTTTTGAGAACTGTGTTTGTTGGGCTAGAGGAATCCCGTCTTCAGAAGAGAAGAGAAGATCAGTAGATGTGACCAATACGTAAAGTCAGAATATCTCGAAATTAATAAACACTTGCTTCTCAGATTACATACAGCACAGTTGTTTTTTTCAATTAGAAGACATTAACACCTTCTAAAAATGGAAAATCACTAATTTCACAGTAACAGTTTAAATTGCCCACCCAGAAAGTTTAGGTTATACATTGGCCACGCTGTTTAGGGTGCTGCTCGATGTTAGTAAAGTGAAACACGCACAGATAATACGGTGCTGTCTTCTCTGGTGTGGACAGCTTTCTGGCCTATACCTTACCAGTTGTTATGTGATGTTTGAACTACTTTTTTCTGAGAGTGTATATGTGTGTGTCCATTTGCCAAAATTCTTCCCCTTCCCCTCCCCCATCCCCACCCCCCAAAAAAAAGCCTTTTACACAAAATCCTGAGTAGAAATAGATAGCATCACCAGAGGAAGCATTGAAAGGTTATCACTGTTGGGATCAACATGGAAATTATAAGCTTCATTTTTTACCTGGGTGCGGTATAGTGCTTGACCATGTCTAGACCATCACTGAGTGGAGCATTAACTCTTCAAGCATGACTAAAGTGGGAATGGCAGATATCTTTGTATCCATATTTAGATCTCACTTGCACTCTTTATTTTAAGAGCAAATTTTATTTTATTTTTTTTCCTACTATCTGGCTAACAGTTACGCAAAATGGTAAAAAATAAAATGACCTTTTTCTTTTTTTTTTTTCTTTTTTTTTTTTTTTTTAATATTTTATTGATTTTTTACAGAGAGGAAGGAAGAGGGATAGAGAGCTAGAAACGTCGATGAGAGAGAAACATCGACCAGCTGCCTCCTGCACACCCCCTACCGGGGATGTGTCTGCACCAATGTACATGCCCTTGAATGGAATCGAACCCAGACCTTCCAGTCTGCAGGCCAACTGAGCCAAACCGGTTTTGGCAAAATGACCTTTTTCAAGGAATTGAACAATTATTTTTTAATTTCTTACAGAAAATTAATTTTTATTAAAGAGATGTCTAGGCACTTAATCATTTTAAACATATGACAGTTACCTCAGGAATATTTATCCTGGAGTTTTTTATATGTTTTTAGATCTATTCATTTTCTTACCTTTTTGAACAGCATGTGCTTTTGGCTACAGACTTACATTTTCACGTTGTATTCAAGCTGAATACTAGGTACCGGTAAATTTTGTTTAACTTCCAGTGCTGTTGATTTTGAAATACAAATCATTCCTGGGAATTGTCTTTCCCATAGGTCTCTGGTGCTGCACCTCCTCGACCAGGAAGCAGTTTTGCTCATTTTGGGTTTGATGAACAACTTATGCACCAGATTCGGAAATCTGAATACACACAGCCCACTCCAATACAGTGCCAGGTAAGTAAAGCATACTGAAGGGAAAATGAAGTAGAATGATAATCATTGACTGTGTTTTATTTTACAAACAAGTCAAATCAATAAAACACTAGTTAGTGCAGCCCTGGCCAGTGTGGCTCAATTGGTTGGAGCATCGTCTTCTACATCAAAAGGTGGCAGGTTTGATTCCCCATCAGGGCACATACTCAGATTGTGGGTTCAAATCCTGATGTTTCCCTCTCTCCCCTTTTCTCTCTTTAAAATCAATTAAAAACACACAACACTGATTAGTGCAGAACTGAATTGACATGGGTCGAATATATCCATATATTCCCTCTGTAGCTTCGTCTTCAACATTTGCTTCAAATAAGGGGAGAGGAGGGAAGATATACATGAAATACAAGAGTATAATAAAAAAGATTTACATGTGGCCCAGCCAAAGATTTCTGGTTGAGTGTCAGCCTGACTATACTTTGTGAACTAAAAGGTTGCCAGTTCGATTCCCTGTCAGAACACATACACGGGTTGCGGGTTCAGTCCCCCTCTTTCCTCTCCCACCTCAAGATCATAGTGTGTACAGAAAGCAGCTGATCGGTGTTTTTCTCTAACATCAATGTTTCTATACCCCCACATCCAAGCATGTCCTCAGTTGAGGATAAAATAAAATAAAAAGATTTCTGTGTGGACAAATTTAGTACTGTCAGTTACTAAGATCCCTTTGGCTGTGACCTGAAAATTCTCATAATTGAAAGTAGTAACTTCTATTTCACATTTATATATGAGATTTATTTATTCCTGCACCAAAATTGAGAATTTTATGTATGTGGATAGGGCAGTCTGTGCCTTCTTAAGGAGACAAAATCTTAAAAATTTTAGTGACCTACTTATAAATTACAATTTTTTTATTTCTATATTTTAAGCAAAATAAAATCATATTTTGTAAATCGTGGCTGATCCACCATGAAGAGAATGATAAATATTTCTTTCAAATCAAGAAGTTTAGGGGAATGCCACATACTTTTTGTTATTCCATAGTTAGTATGCATAGCCCAGGATAATTTTGTTCCAGTGAAAATGAATGTCATTAATAGTCATTTACTCCTTCCCTGCGATTTCCTTTAGTACATCTTCACAATAGAAGGTTGAAAGTGGATATACTTCTTTTTCTCTAGGGTGTGCCTGTGGCATTAAGTGGAAGAGACATGATTGGTATTGCCAAAACAGGCAGTGGAAAAACTGCTGCCTTTATCTGGCCCATGCTGATACATATAATGGACCAGAAGGAACTAGAACCAGGTGATGGACCAATTGCAGTGATTGTGTGTCCTACGAGGGAGCTTTGCCAGCAGGTATGTGCTTTGTATGGAAATGCCTCCTTGCAAATGTGAACTAGCAAGGGACCAACCAGTCAAGTGGGTAGAATTACCAGGAAACTTTTTTTCAGTTGTGATAAAATACACATCAAATTTCCCATTTTTACCATTTGTAAATGTGCAATAGAGTGGCATTAAATACATTTACATTGAGCTACCAGGAAACTTTTGGAAAATAATGTTATACTAGAGGCCTGGTACATGAAATTGTGCACGGGTAGGGTCCTTAGACTTGGCGAGCAATCAGGGCTGATCTGTGGAGCAACTGGTGGGGAAATTGAGGGGCCCCCCTGCTGGCACCTGCCTTGGCTGGGGCCTGCAGGCTGGGGACAGCTCCTGCATTGAGCATCTACCCCCTGGTGGTCAGTGCATGTCATAGCAACCAGTCATTCCATTTTTTGGTCGATTTGCATATTGGACTTTTATTATATAGGATACTTTCTATATAACCAAATACACACTTTCTTTGAAAAACTGTTTTAAGATTTTAAAAAATGCTATAAGAATTGTCTTAAGTATTTTCTAGCATTTTATTTTCTGACATTGTGTTCTATGTGTTTGTATAACTCCCTTTTTTGTTGTGACAAAGGTTTTTGTCAGAATTTGTTAATGTGTTGTTATGTCCACAACTTTTTAGATCCATGCAGAATGTAAGCGGTTTGGGAAAGCATATAATCTTCGATCAGTGGCCGTGTATGGAGGGGGAAGCATGTGGGAGCAGGCCAAGGCCCTTCAGGAAGGGGCGGAGATTGTTGTGTGTACTCCAGTAAGTATGTCTGGATTTAAATTGCTTCTCGGCCTCTGTTTGTATGGAAAAGTGGTTAGTTATTGGAGGGACTTCCCCCCTAAAATGTGGTAGAAAATACTCTGGTGAGTGACAGCCTGTGGCTTTGATTTAATTTTGATTAATTACTAAAATAGTCCAATAAGATTCTCTGATCTATATATTAATAGCTACAAATTTCCCTCTATTTAAAATAATTTTTCTTATGTTCTAGAAAATGGATGAGGTCATTGAAAGTATCAAGAATCAGAAAGACATTCAAAGTATAGTCAGGCTGTCTAGAAGAGTAGTTTAAACATTAAAGCCCATCAGTAAGGTTTCAAATTAGATCATTTCAGAATGCCTCACAAAATTATTCTGGCCCTTTTCCTACAATTTAAATCACAATGTAAAGGAAGAATCTAATGGGGTTTTCAAAATTTCTGGGTTTCTTTAGGCTTTGTCAAGGCTGTCAGACCAGGGTCTGATATAGTCTACGACATATTAATATTTTTGCTAGGAACACAACTCTAGTAAGTTGTTTTATATGCCTTTAATTTTATTTACTAATCATTTTCTGGTTCTCATAGGGCCGACTGATTGATCATGTGAAGAAGAAAGCTACCAATCTTCAGAGAGTCTCTTACCTTGTATTTGATGAAGCAGATCGAATGTTTGACATGGGATTTGGTATGCTCTGAATACCAGTGTCTTCTGTCCCTCATCTCATGATACTAGTTTTTCCCATGTCTGAACTTAGCAACTTTTTTTTTCATGAGAGAAGCCAAAAATATTCCTGGGAGGGTTAGAAACTATTTTTAGGAGTTCTCTCAGGAAAAGTATGTTAGGTGTGAATGGGTTGTGGACAATTGAAAAATGCCTTTGTATATAGGGGGGATATTGGCTTTATGCTTTATTTTTATTCATATGCCTTTGATTGTGGATGTCAAGGTCTGAGTTCTTAGTTGGGTGGATGTCATGTCATTCAAGGACCTTTGCTCTCCTGTCTTCCTTCACTTAACCTGGCTGTGTGAAAAGTCTAACTTTATTGATTGAAACGCTATTAGGTCTACCCCAGCTGGGTGGAGGACAAAATGCTTTCTGAGTTTCATAATGAATAGTAGATCTAGAAGTTTTAAAGTTTTCTTATTTCTTTCTTTTCCCCCTTAATTCTTATAACCTTTCATATGAAGATTTTTACTAAAATGACTTTTCCAGGCATCCCAAACTGTATTGCAGAGTTATAATATTAATTTTATGTTTCTATTTCTTCCAGAGTACCAGGTGCGATCCATCGCCAGTCATGTCCGTCCTGACAGACAGAGTATGTATGCAGCATTTTTATTAAGCCACATTTGTACTCAGAATAATCCTCTATTTATTTTATAAGCACTTAGTTGTGGCAGCAAAAATGATCATGTGAGTGTACTGGTGAGAACTATTAGGTCTAGTAATAATTAATGTCGTTTTCTAACTTTTAAATCGAATTTATTTAAACAATACAACAAAATTTAATCAACAATATAGTTGCCGCTGTTTTCTACTACTTGTGCCCAACGCTCAGGAAGCATTTTAATCCTTCTGTTGTAAAATTCTTGTGATTTTGATGCAAAGAATTCGGTCAATGCATTTTTGAGGCATTCTTCATTATTAAATTTTTTTCCAAGAAGAAAGTTTTGCAAAGAACGAAACAAATGGTAATCTGAAGGGGCAATATCAGGAGAATATGCAGGTTGAGGGAGAAATTCCCATTCCAATTGGCGCAGTTTTTCAGCAGTGATTCTTGCAGTATGCGGTCGTGCGTTATCGTGGTGAAGAATTACGCCCTTCCGATTAATCAGCGCGGGTTCTTTTTCTCTTAAAGCTTGGGCTAACCTTTCCAATTGGGCACTATACACTGCACTTGTAATGGTTTGGTTAGATGGTAAAAGTTCATAATGAAGAATTCCTTTAAAATTCCACCAAACACACAACATCACTTTTTTCGCATGCAAGTCAGGTTTTGGCGTGGACTGCAGAGCCTCATTTTTGTCCAACCATTGAGGCCGCCTTTTCAAATTAACATACAGCACCCATTTTTCATCTCCGGTAACAATTTGCTCTAAAAACGGCAAACGGTTTTGACGAGAGAGGAGCGAACTGCAAATTGTGACTCTTTGATTACGGTTGTTGTCGGTCAACTCACGAGGAACCCATTTTCCAAACTTTTGGACTTTGCCAAGTGCACGCAATTGATTGGAAATTGTTTTTTGTGAACAATTTAAAGTTGTCGCAAGCTCTTGTTGGGTAATTTGAGGATTTTGCACCAAAAGAGCTTGAAGAGCTTCTTGATCAAAATTGGACACACGGCCTCGACCACTCTTGTCATCTAACGAAAAATTTCCCTCGCGAAATTTCTCAAACCAACGCTGGCATTTTCTGGCGCTAACTGCATCTTGACCAAGAGCACTACAGATGTTTTTTGCAGCCTCACTTGCTTTTCTTCCTAATTGGAACTCGTAAAGCATGCAGTGCCGAATATGCTCTTCATCCGCCATCTTCTTAGCCCTAGTTTTGCAACAAAAACCAAACCAAACACAAACTTTTTCAAGCAAAACTTGTTAATTGCACTTCACACGTTCTGTAGATACCACGTGTTTGAAGGTTATGTCAATACAAGTCAATGCCAAGCAAGATTTTAAACGAATGTTTAAAAACAACATTACTTATTACTAGACCCAATATAAAGGGTGAGATAGTGACTGTTTATCTGAGCTGCACAGGACCTTAGAGGTCATCAGTTATAATTCACTGGTGGTTATAGATAACAAATACTAAGGCTGAGGATTGAGTGACTTGCTCCAATTTATACAGTTTTATTTGGTAGAGGCAATGCACAATGCAGATCTGATTTCTGTTAACCATATGACAACCCTGTCTTAACAGAAAATTTATAAAAATAGAGTAAGATCAAGCCTTTTTTCCTTAGTTTTTTTTGGTTTGTTTTTGGTTTTAACTAAGATTAAAGTTCAAGTAGGCTTATTTTTAAAAAACTGAGTATTTTTTAAAAACAATATTTTAAATGTTAGTAGAAAGCTTAATGGTTATTCAAAAATGAAGTCATACTGTTTCTTTAACAAAATTTAATTTACCTTTTAGCTCTCTTATTCAGTGCAACTTTTCGGAAAAAGATTGAAAAACTGGCCAGAGACATTCTGATCGACCCTATTCGAGTGGTGCAAGGAGATATTGGAGAGGTAACCTTAGCAGGGCTGGATGGGACCCCAGTAGGTTATTTCTCAGATTATGGAGACATGGTATGAATTTCTCACTACTGAGAGGAAAAATATTATGTATTAATGGGCGAGGCAGCATGTTTCAAATTTGCTTTAAATTTAAATATACAAAGAGAAGGGTAACCCTGTTGGTTAGAACATGGTCTTTATATACCATGGTTGTGGGTTTGATCCCTGGCAAGCGCCCATACAAGAACTAACTAATGGATGCATAAATAAATGCATCCATTTTTTACTTTTTTTATAAATAACATTTGTGGGGGGAAAAGAAGCAAGCTTTGCCTAGAAAGACTATCAGGATAGAACTGACATTTAAAATGATGGAGGGAGGAAGTCTGCACAGCATGGAGTGGGGGACTCGAACAGCCTGGTAAAAATGAGTTACGGGCCAAAATTGGTTTGGCTCAGTGGATAGAGCATCGGTCTGTGGACTGAAAGGTCCCGGGTTCGATTCCGGTCAAGGGCATGTACCTTGGTTGCAGGCACATCCCCAGTAGGGGGTGTGCAAGAGGCAGCTGATGGATGATTCTATGATTCTCATCGATGTTTCTTTCTTCCTTCCTTCCTTCCTTCCTTCCTTCCTTCCTTCCTTCCTTCCTTCCTTCCTTCCTTCCTTCCTTTCTTTCTTTCTTTTTAATAAATTTTTATTGTTCATATTATTACAAATGTTCCTTTTTTTTCTCCCCCACCATTGCTCTCCTCCACCAGGTTCCCACGCCACCCTCTGCCCTTTCCCTACTCCCCATTGTCCTCATCCATAGGTACACAGTTTATGTTCAGTCTCTTCCCACATCCCCCTCTCCCCTTTTCCCCAAGAATCGTCAGTTCACTCCCCTTCCATACCTCTGATTCTATTATATTCAACAGTTAATATTGTTCATCAGATTTTTTTTTAAATTTCCTTGGTTTTTAGATTCACTTTTTTTTTTTTTTTTTTTTTTTTTTTTTTTTTTTTTAATATATTTTATTTATTTTGTACAGAGAGGAAAGGAGAGAGATAGTTAGAAACATCGATGAGAGAGTCATCGATCAGCTGCCTCTTGCACACCCCCTACTGGGGATATACCCGCAACCAAGGTACATGCCCTTGACCGGAATCGAACCCGGGACCTTTCAGTCCCCAAGCCGACGCTCTATCCCTTGAGCCAAACCGGTTTTGGCTTAGATTCACTTGTTGATAGTTACGTATTTGTTGTTCATGATTTTTATCTTTATTTACTTTCTCTTCTGAAAGAACCTCCTTCAGCAATTCATATAATTCTGGTTTGGTGTTGATGAACTCCTTTAGCTTTTTTTTTTATTAGTGAAGCTCTTTATCTGACCTTCGATTCTGAGTGATAGCTTTGCTGGATAGATTATCTTTGGCTGTAGGTTCTTACTATTCATCGCCTTGAATATTTCTTGCCATTCCCGTCTGACCTGCATGGTTTCTGTTGAGAAATCAGCTGACAATCGTATAGGTGCTCCTTTATAGGTAACTACCTGCTTTGCTCTTGCTGCTTTTAATATTCTCTCTTTATCTTTTGCTCTTGGAATTTTAATTATGATGTGTTTTGGTGTGGTCCTCTTTGGATTCCTTTTGTTTGGAGTTCTTTGCGCTTCCTGGACTTGTAAGTCTAATTCTTTCACCAGGTGGGGGAAGTTTTCTGTCACTATTTCTTTCAGTATGTTTTCGATATCTTGCTCTCTCTCATCTGGGACCCCCATAATTCTGTGGTTTGCTTGAAGTTGTCCCAGAGGTTTCTTACATTATCTTCAATTTTCTGGATTCTCTTGCCTTCTAGCTTCTGTGGAGGAGTGTCTTCTGGCTTTTTATGTTCCAACTCTTTGACTTGATTCTTGGCGATCTTCCATTCTGTTTTTAGGACTCTGTATAATATTTTTTTATTTCAGACAATGTATTCTTTATTTCTTGTTGATCCCTTATCATTTCTCGTTGATTCCTTATTAATTCTAGTTGATCCCTTTTCATATCCTCATAGGTCTTATCGTCTTTTCTAGGAAATTCTTGAAAAACCTTATAAGCGTAGATTTGAACTCTATATCCAGTCGCTTTTTGTCCTCTATTTCTTTCGTTTGTGATCTATTTTGTCTCAACATTTTTGAGCTTTCCTGAGTTGGTAGCCTTAAAAATCTCTGTGTTCTGCTTGGATGGGGCGGTGTTTCAGGGTGGAGCCTGCAGCTTTGGCTTCCGTCAGCCCCGCCCTATGCAGCTTCCTGGGTCTCAGGGTCCTTCAGTACTCCTTGCAAGCGCCTCTGAGAAAAAGATGCCCTCGATTTACGCCTGCTGCCAAACAGTCTATGCTCTCTCCCAATGAGCCCGGAACTGGGGTTCAGTTCAGTTGGAAGTGGAGTTGGAGGTGGCGTTCAGAGCAGTCTGGAGCCCCTGTCTCCTTCCCGCCAGGACAATCCCACGGCACAGCCAACCGTCCCTTCTCTGCACGCAATGTGCGCGCCTCCGGGACCTCCTTTCACCGCTTCCCCGGGTTTCCGCCTTACAGCCCAGCTCCCTATGGATGAGCCTGGGTCCCCGGGGTCTGGCCTAGAACTGGGTTTCAGAGCAGTCGGAACTGGGGCCCAGCACAGTCGGAGCTTTTATCTCCTTCCTGCTAGGGAATGTCAGCCAGGCACTCCGCCTCCCTCCTCTCTGGCTCCGTCCTCTCAGCGCGCGCCGCGTGTCTCCGTACCTTAGGCTTTTCCAACTCCTCCGCGCTTCCTTCTGGTTTTCTCCTTGCTTCTCGTTATAGAATTTCCAGTCAGTCGACTTTCCTGTAGTTCTGGGTAATGTCCATTTTATATTTTAGTTATATTTTATTGAAATTGTTGTGTGTGGCTGCAGCTAGGTGTTTACCTGTAAGCCATCTTGGAACGACCTCTCATCGATGTTTCTAACTCTCTATCCCTCTCTTCCTCTCTGTAAAAAATTAATAAAAATATATTTAAAAAAAAAAAGTTACGGGTTTTTTCCTTACCTGTGTGGAAAATTTCTCTGAATTGTGATTTGGAATTCAGTTAAGGCTGCCTTAAGAATTCCTTAAGTTGCTTGCCATGTTTATTAAAGTTCTGAGCAGTTAGCATTTTGACAGTGTCCATTCTTTATTTTTGAGTTCCTTCTGTATCCGTGGATGAATTCTACGAGGAACAGTGAGTGGAGGGGCAGAAGGCAGCTTAATTTATTAATAATAATCTGAGGAATAGGCATAAAAAACATTGCGGTTAACAGATTATTTGGTTAGTACATGTACGCATTAGGGGAGATAGAGAGCACAGTGATTTGAGAAAGGGACCTAAGGTTTGAGTGCACTTGACTTGCTGAAGGAAGGCCCAGAAGAAAGATTGTTTAAGGTTCTGCTAGGTGCAAGTAAAAAATGTGATGTCTGGTCCCTGTTCAGGTGCCCTGTGGAACAAATGTCACAATCCTCTGTTTCATTTCTTCCTTTTCAGGCAAATGAAGATGTGACACAGATTGTTGAAATTCTCCATTCCGGGCCTAGTAAATGGAACTGGCTTACCCGGCGTCTGGTTGAGTTTACCTCTTCAGGGAGTGTTCTCCTGTTCGTTACTAAAAAGGCCAATGCTGAGGAGCTGGCCAATAACCTTAAACAGGAGGATCATAATCTTGGGCTGCTTCATGGAGACATGGATCAGAGTGAAAGAAACAAGGTCATTTCAGACTTTAAGAAAAAGGACATCCCCATCCTGGTGGCCACAGATGTTGCAGGTAGGATATGAATTTCCCCAATAATCTTAGGTTTCTGTGCTATAAGAGTGCTCTGCCTTGTTACACAAAACCTGTAATACCTGATCAAGCTGATTGAAGGTGATCTGCTGGCCTGGCTGGCCATACCCCATGGAGCCATTTAGAGTACACTGATCATAACCAGAAAGATGTTAATTTCTCAGCTTCAAGGCATATTTGAAGCTGATTTTAATTTTTATATATTCCTGGTACAGACAGGCCATGGCAGGTTATTGATGGCAGATGTTATATACCTTACAGTAGGTGACCTCGCATCATAGAATCTGCAATAGTGGCATTTGTTCTAGAATAGTAACTTGTATCTCAGCTCAGCAAACCACACACTTTGCCTAGATAAGAATGGAATCTGGGCTTGACTGCAGTGGCTCAGTGGTTGATCGTTGACCTATGAACCTGGAGGTCACGGTTTGATTACCAGTCAAGGCATATACTTGGGTTGCAGGCTCGATCCCCAGTAGGGGGCTTGTAGGAGGTAGCCGGTTAATGATTCTCTTCATTAATGTTTCTATCTCCATCTCCTGTCCTCTCTGAAATCAATTGTGTGTGTGTGTGTGTGTGTGTGTGTGTGTGTGTGTGTGTGTGTGTGTGTGTGTGTAATGGAACCTGGATTCTTAAGAGATTTTAGTATTTGGCTTTACTTTGCTTTTTAGTGTGCTTTTTTTAAAAATATATTTTTAATGGTTTCAGAGATGGGGAGAGAACGAGAAACATCAATGATGAGAGAGAATAATTGATCGGCTACCTCCTGCCTACCCCCTACTAGGGATCCAGCCAGCAACTAGGCATGTGCCCTTGACCGGAATTGAACCGGACTCTTCAGTCTGCAGACCAGTGCTCTATCCACTGCGCCAAACCAGCTAGGGCAGGGTTAGTTTGGTTTTTGATTCCTGATGAAGAATAAAAGAATTTGGTTTATTTCAGCCCGTGGTCTGGACATTCCTTCAATTAAGACTGTCATCAACTATGATGTGGCTCGAGACATTGATACCCATACTCACAGGATTGGCCGCACAGGACGAGCGGGTGAGAAGGGTGTGGCTTATACCTTGCTAACTCCCAAGGACAGCAATTTTGCTGGTGATCTTGTCCGGAACTTGGAAGGAGCCAATCAACATGTTTCCAAGGAACTCCTAGACCTGGCGATGCAGGTGAGAGGCTGCGACACACTTCAGGTTGCTCCAAGTTGTAAAACTAAACTAGGTGATCAAATTCCAACAAGCCTGATACAGATAACCTAGAAACATGTCAAGAAAGGAGTGGGGGTGGGGAGAATAGTGCTTAGAGGTACTGATCAGTTTTGTAAGGGCATTAAAATTCATCTGGTTATCTTCTCATCCTCTCCTTTCAGCAGCATCTATGAAAGTGTAATTTCAAAGATGGCTTCTATTCCTCCCAAACTGTCTTCTCTTTTGGGGGCTAAAAATGTGTGATGTCTTAAAAACTTATGTATTGAACTATTCCCCATAGACTTAGATCTCAGATTTTAGACCACACTGATTACCAGTCCAAAATTGAGTGAACCATTCTACCGAATTAAATCTTAAACTGTGTTAATACATGCAGTTTCCAAATTACAAATGTGTTCAGAATACATATTCTGTTAGCAGAGACTTACATGTTTTTCAGATAGGCCAGCCTAATAGCATTTTTACCCACAATGCAGTTGTCGTGTGGTCTTGAGAGTAGTTTCCTCCCTTTCCTGGGTGTAGAGAGCCAATCCTAAACTGAAGGTTTGAACAAGATACATCTCTTTTTATGCCTCAGGCTTCCTGTGCTCAGACTGATCAGCTTCTCATCACCTTAGCCAAGCTTGCCCTGCCTCTCAGAACTTTGGCATGTCAGCCAAAGCTCTAACCTCCCCCAGAGATGTTTGCATTCTGCAGAGAATGTGAATAAATCTGATTAGTAGTATTCTGGCAGTGATTAAGTTCAGTGAAAACTTTAAGGTCTTATGGGTAAATAAAATTTTATTTTTTTATGTGACTACCAGTCTGGCCTAGAGTGAATTCTAATAAACCTCACTTTACAGTGTGTTTTTTTCCCTACTTCTGAACCCAGTAATACTTTAAAGGCTCTGAATTTTTATGTCCAGTGGTATGTATAGATTGAAAAATAGAAAACAAACTCACTTTCCTCAAGGAAGTTAGAAGTGGCCAGTGTAACCAGTCACTTCCCTTCTTGGAAAAGGAGCAATAAAGGAAGCCTTAGAGAAGGATCTGAGCCTCCTGACAAATGGGTGGATTAAACTACCTAAAGGAAGTGAATCTGTGGTTCTGGGCTAAAGATAAGCAAAAAGTCTTCCCTTCCACTTAGTTTCCTCTTGCATCTTATCCTTTCTCTGGCCCCTCCCTTCTCCCTATCCTGGCTTAACCTTAAATTGTGTTCAATGCAGAATGCCTGGTTTCGGAAGTCCCGCTTCAAAGGAGGGAAAGGCAAAAAGCTGAACATTGGTGGCGGAGGCCTGGGCTACAGGGAGCGGCCTGGGCTAGGCTCTGAGAACACGGTGAGTCCATTCTACAATAGTGCCCTGTCAGTCACCGGGGACTGACACTACTTTGTGTCCGGAAGGCAAAACAGGTTGGGCACTTAACGTGTTAAGACTGGTCCTGAGTGATGTAGGATTATTCTCCTCTGCCTGAGACAACCTCAGTGAGTTCAGAGCCCTGTCTGGAAGGAAGCTTGTGTTTAATTTGCTGGCTTACCTCTATGTTAATGCTGGTTCTTAATGTTGTGACTTCTATTGAAGAAGGACCTTGATGTGCTCAGGAAATCAGTCTAGGTTAGCGGTGGTTCCTGGACTAGCAGTAAATGGAGACTCATGCCCCACTGCAAACCTGGTGAATCAGAAACTCTGGATGTGGGACCCCACGGTCTGTTTTCCCAACACTGGCCTAAATCAAGCCTGCTGCTAGACATTGCCACAAGGTCACTGTGTAGATTCTAGTTGTGTCTTGTAACTAAACTCAGAAATGATTGCTACATTCTCTGGGAAATTTCATCGGTGAGAGGAGAGAGCGCTTTTCTCAAAAATCAGGTAACAAAAGCTCTCCCTGATTCGCTGTCTTAACTACCTATTTCCTGTTACTCTAATTCCTAAGCCAAGTCTACATGTCTGGCTCATTATAGTTAGGTATCTTTGATAAGTAATCTGTTACCACATTACAGTCATGATGATGATGTGGATAAGAATGTTAGCTAATACTGAGCACTTACTACATGCCAGGTCCATTCCAAGCAGGCACACATATTAACTCAGTCTTCTCAGTCACTCACCAAGAGTGAGTACAGATAAAAAACAGAGGCACCCAAGGTTACACACTGGTAAGTGACAAAGCTGAGTTTCAGACTCAAGGGTCTGGATTCATAGAATGTGCATACTGCCTTGTGGCCTTTCTATATAATTTTTACATAATTACATAAACATGTTCATGTTTGTATATAAATAATGCCACGTAGTCAGCTTTGGGCATAATCTGATCTCATTTTTGATTATTTAGGATTAATTTCCAGAAATAGAAATACTGGGTTGAAAGGCATTGAGTTTTTATTTTTATTATTGTTATTTTTTCTTAAGTTCCTTTGCATTTTTACAGACATTCTATATATCTGTATGTGGAAAGTATAAATGGCACCAAATGCTTGAGGATCATGCTCTTTTTAAAAAAAATATATTTCATTGATTTTCTACAGAGAGGAACGGAGGATAGAAAGCCAGAAACATCGATGAGAGAGAAACATCGACTAGCTGCCTCCTGCACACCCCCTACCGGGGATGTGCCCACAACCAATGTACATGCCCTTGACCGGAAACGAACCTGGAACCTTTCAGTCTGCAGACTGATGCTATATCCACTGAGCTAAACTGGTTTCAGCAGGCATTAAGTTTTTAAATTATTCTTCATTATCACACCTTTTCTCACAAAGCGTAACTTCCTAAAAAAATTCTGTTCCCTTTCCCACTCGTTTTCAGTATGTTGAGGCCTAGTCTATAGCAGGGGCTTTCCTACTTGAGTCCATTCTTAAGGTGTGCTTATTTTTTAGGATCGAGGAAATAACAACAATGTAATGAGCAACTATGAGGCCTACAAGCCCTCCACAGGAGCCATGGGAGATCGGCTGACGGCGATGAAAGCGGCTTTCCAGGTAGGAGATGAGCATTAGGTAAAAGAGCATCAGCAGTAATTCTTGGGCAATGATGGGGGGCTAGTGTAGCTCCGTTTGTGTGTTCAGTACTGGATTTAGGACCCTCACTGCTTCCCATTTTGAACACAAGCTGTAGCTACCCTAGAGATGCAGGTGTTGAGGCTACAGAAACTCCTGCTGTCATCTGCACGCTGAGCTCAGGGCTGTTGTACTGCTGCAGGATTGCTGTTCCCTCCCTGCCTCACCAACCTCCTGTGTTGCCCTCATCAAAGGCTACTGCTATCTGGTTGACAGTAATCTTTTAACTAAGAAAAATTTGATTCTGTATCTCAGGAACTCTTCTTTTACCCCTCCGGTTAGCTGGCCTTAATTTACATATTTTATCCATCTCCAGACTAATATGCACAGAAGCCACAGGATTGTGGGGCCATCAGGATGCTAAAGTCGGCCAAGATAGAATGGATAGTCTTGTGTGTGAACACCCTAGTTCCTATATATCATTGCCAAGCTTATTATATATTAGTTTCTTAACTCACCATCATAACTATTTTCATTCTTTTTCTCTCTCAGTCACAGTACAAGAGTCACTTTGTTGCCGCCAGCTTAAGCAACCAGAAAGCTGGAAGTTCTGCTGCTGGGGCAAGTGGATGGACAAGTGCAGGGAGCTTGAATTCTGTACCATCTAATTCAGCCCAGCAGGGTCTTAACAGTCCTGACAGCCCCGCTGCTAGTGCCACCAAGAGCGTCCCAGGCTTAGGCAATCCTGGGAACCTCAGCAGTGCCCCAGTGACCTACCCCACTCCCGGAGCCCAGGGAGTCAACAACACAGCTTCAGGGAATAACAGCCGAGAAGGGATTGGGGGTAGCAATGGGAAGAGAGAGAGATATACTGAGAACCGGGGTGGTAGCCGTCACAGCCATGGAGAGAGTGGCAATCGGCATGGTGATAGCCCACGTCATGGAGATGGTGGTCGCCATGGAGATGGATACCGCTATCCAGAAAGCAGCAGCCGTCATACTGATAGCCATCGTCATGGGGAGAACAGACATGGAGGAGGTGGAGGCCGACATGGAGAGAGCCGAGGTGGAAATGAAGGCCGAGGTGCAAATGATGGTCGAGGTGCAAATGATGGTCGAGGGGTAAATGAAGGTCGAAGTGCAAATGATGGCCGGAATGGTGAAAGCAGGAAAGAAGGTTGTAATCGTGAGAGCAAGATGGACCCCAAGGTGGTGGATAGCAGTAAGATGGATAAGATGGACAGCAAGACAGATAAGACAGCTGATGGTTTTGCTGTCCCCGAGCCACCCAAGCGCAAGAAAAGTCGATGGGACAGTTAGATGGTATGTGCTGACGTGTGAAATCCTTTGTTATTTTTAGAAAGATTTTTGGTAATTACGTGTCTCAGGGCTGGGTTGGGGTGGGGCCTAAGGTGTAAGGACCCCCTACCCTTAGTGGGTAGCTGGCACTTGGAGACATGACTCCTTCATCTGGATTGTTTTTTGGATTATTTTGGGGGGCTGCTTTGATTTTAAGCAGTGAGAGCTGGGAAGTGTCTTTTGGCTCTGGATTTCTTGTGAGGGCCTTAAAGGATATAAAACTAGGTTTATATCATATGTATGTAGTGTGTATTTTTTACTGTCAGCTTATAAACATCTATAAGTTAAAACCTTTCTCTTAGCCATGTGCCCAGGCAGGCCCTGTTAGGGATGTTTGGAAGCACTTTGGGGCTTCCAATACATTTGCAGGGAAGGGAGGTGTCTGATTCCAAGTGGAGTTGATGCTCAGGTTTGTTTCCAGCCCTGAGACTGGAAGCAGCAGCCTATAGTGGAAGCCCAGAGCCACTACTATTAGAGGTGAGAAATAATCCTAAAAACAGGATTGCTCCAGGGCTGAAGTGTTGCTAAATTTAAAACCCCAACAGCTTTTAACTATCTTCCCCCTATTTCATTGTGTTGGTGTTTTTTTTTAACTTACCACAATGGTAGAAAAATCTTTTGCTGAAATGATTTTGATGATTTTTGTTTTATGTTGTTTATAAAGGAAATATACATACTTCAAATTTTGTGACTTTGTGAAGGTTTCTTTAAGATGTGCATTCTTTTCTGCTTGCTATAGTAAATGTTTTACTACTGGGACCTGTGGATTGTCTGTCATTTCTACCTCAGGAGTCAGAACATGTTAAATCAGATTTAGAACAATGCAGCACCAAAGTTAGCATTTAATAAGAACTGGACGAAAAGACATCCATAATCATGGTTTTATTTAAATAATAGAAGAGGCCGGGAGAGCTCAGGCCCAGAAGTCATGCTAGAATGAATGCCACCTCAATACTCAAGTTCCCCTTAGAGTTTACAAAAGTGCCCGGTCTTCTTCATGGAAGGGTTGTGGAGTCCAACAGGGTCCTTCAGCTGTGCTTTAACAAGAGGCAGGAGATGTCTTCACCACTCAGACCACCGTGAGTTGTAGGTACCCCACACCTCACTGTCTTTTCAGATGACTGTGATGCCAACAGGTGCAGCTGGTAATGGGGAGGCTGGCGTAAACCGCAGAACCGCTCCTCCATACATTGCTTTCTCAGAGGCCTTGGTGGCTCTGCTTACTTCCGCCTGTTTTTCTTCTGCTTCTCCTTCCGTTGCTGTGCTCTTTGGTCCTTCTTCATCCTTGAGTCCACCACTTTGAAATGACCTCTGACTCCAGCTGGTCGGCGCACTTTGCGGCCCACACCTTTTTTGGCTACGACATAGGTGACCTGGCGTTTCTCCTTGCCAAGCCCAGCCTTCTTATAGAGACTGTAAATGAAAGAAAACAGTTGGCTTTCTGACCCTTGTTAACCCCCAAATATCTGTGGGTGACCTCCCCCAATCACCTTCGAAGCTGTGCCACTTTCTCTCGTTCTGAGATGTCCACCGTGTTCACCACTGCTTCTGCTTTCTTCTTGGTTTGTTCCAGCTTCTTCAGCATCTGTGAGGCCCTGTCAGGTTAATCTCTGCCCCATCCCTGTCCCACCTCCCCCTCATCTTGGGCAGCCCCAATACTTACCCTGCGTTTCTTTCTGGCTTTAGCTTCAGCCACTTTCTTGATTGGACGTGCGTTGATTTCTCGCCACCGTTTCCGATAATGCTCCACGTCCTTCTTGTCAATAGGCAATTGCCGTATCCTGTGCTGCTTCTCCTCCTGCACAAACCACTCTGGGAGCTCCCCTTCGTCCTCATTAAATGTATACCTAGGTGGAGGACACAGCCCTTTCGACCACGCCATGCTTTGTGGAGAAGAAACCACTTGCCCTCTCCCGCCACACACACAACTGGGCGGCTCCTCGTGACTTTCCTCCCCTTACCGGCTGAAGGAATTATCTATGAGGTCTCTCTTGGCCTTCTTGGAAGAGGCGATAATAGCACCTAAAGCAAGGCCTTCAGGGTCCAGGATCCGATGTTTCACTAGAAGGGAGGAGAAAAGTCCAAGCTCAATTCCCAAACATCCGGGTCTCCTCCCATCCCGCTGGGGCAGACCCTCACTCACCTGGGTCCTCGATAGGCACTACCTCAAACCCATCCTCCTCGGACTTAGGCCCTCGGCTTCGCTTCTTCCCACGGCGTGGTTCCCAGCTGCAGGAGGGAAGAACCACGTGTCCACCATCACTCAGACCCACTTCAACCCAGTTCCTATTTAAGGCTGCAGTGGGTAACTTCTGGAGATCCTACCATGGCATGGCCATACCAGTTAAATCGGAATAAGTGTTTTTAAAGCTCTCGATCTACAGGCAAGGTTGAAAACACCCAACTTAGAAAAATGGTTAACACTGCTTCCTCATATCCCTTCTCCCATCAGCTGCAATCACTCACCTCTCTTCCTCACTGCTGCTGCTATCACTGTCCGAGCTGTCATCCTTCTCCCCACCCCCGGGGCCAGCGGCAGCCTCTGTCCCTGGTGGAGCCTCTGTCGCCTTAATGGCCTCATCTGGGCACTGGGAAGGTTTTCTCTCTGTCTTCGAACTAGAAGATGGTGGTGGTAGTGGTGGCGGCGGCGGCTGCAGCTGCCCCTTCCGGCGGCTCTCATACAACAGCTGGGCCTGGCTGATCTCCAGAGCCTCATCAGCATCATCCTCAATCCCACTGAAGCCATCCTGTGACAGGGGAAGTCCTTTAGGTATCCTTCAGCGGGGAATGCCAATTCCCTGAGTCTCGACCCCCTGGCTTCCTCTTACCTTCGAGAACCACAGGCTGGCTTGTTCTTCCTTCAGGACCCCCTTTTCCTCCAAAGGCACCAGCAATGGGTTCTCTTCGTCATTCTCCTCCCCTTTATCGTCTTCTGCTTTAGCAAACCGAACACTGTAGCCCCAAGGGAAGTGGGTTAGCAGGCCAGTGCCTGGAGAACCACCCCCACCCCCCAATGCCTTTGACAATACCTGCAGACCAGCCCCCACCTTACCTCTTTTGGTCCTTTAGACTCCGAGGATCTCTGACTCCTGCCAGCTCTTCTGGATCCAGGTCACTATCCAGAGATGCATCATCATCATCTTCCTCTTCACCATCTGACACATAGATGTCATCTCTTGGCAGATCGGACAGAAACATGTCTGCAGCACTCATATCCCCTTGTGTTACCTCCTCTAACAACTAAAGTTTGACAGAGAAACAGAGATCGAGGGTACTTGAACATACTGCTTTCTTCTGTGTCCATTACCTTAGCTTCAGCAAACACATCTCCTTTTACAGACGGGAAAGTGATGGTGCTGCCAAACCATCCCATTCTAGACCACATCACTCACCTGTTCCACTCAGCAGTCTCATCTTCAATGGTAGCAGAAATAGGTTTATGGAAAAATACCCGTACCCTATATAGCATCAAATTTTAAAATATTCTAACACATTAATTTTTCTTTAAAAACATTTCCTCAAAAAAAAAAAAAAATACATCACCTTCTGAGAAGAATATAATCTATGAATTTTGTTTCCACTGAATAAAGGAGCCCGGGTAAGATGTTTTACTTATCCCTAAAGCCCTCGCGGGTAGGTTCTACTCTCTTTTACAAGTGAGGGAACTGAGGCAAAACATGGATAGAGGTAGCCTGCTCCACTGCACCCTCCTGTACAACCGAGAAGACCTGGTTCCCATTCCCACACAAAAGCCAGGAATTGCCTGTGACACTGCTTTTATTTACAAGTCAGGTTCCCTGCTCACCATCCAGCAGCCACGTGCACCGAGGCGCCAACTTGGTCTCCCGAGGGAAGCCCTCCATCACCAGCAGGACACCCAGTTACCTGGCTGTGTCTACAGAAATAGCTTCTTGCAAAGAGTGCCCCTTGGTTCTTCTATTTTTACTTAGTATATAAGATACATACACATATGTAATGTTCTTACAGTATTCACAAATCTTCCTAATTTCGTGTTAGGTTTTCTTCCTGGCTTTTGAGACACAAGACTCTTGTGTTTTTTCCCCAGTCACCCTTCACCGAGTCATATTTATGGGTGGACACAGCAGCCATGAGCAGTGATCACACAGCACACTAAGAAAATGTTTAATCCCGACCCCCTTCCAAATACACACACAGATCCTCTGGTCCTCACACTGTTCCAGCCCCCCTCACCTGGTGACCCCGGATGGTGCGCAGGGAGAACATGCCAGTCTCCCCCTCGTCTGCAATGGAAACCCCGGGAAGATCCATCTTCAGCTCCACACGCTCCCGCTGCTTCCTCTGCTCACGCAGCAGCTTCTTTTTCTTCCTGAGGGGCAGTTTGGGGGATTATACCTCCCCGGCTTTGAGAACTGCTCAATCGTTTCCTCATTCCCTCCCTCCATCCCACACACACACAAACTCTGGGGGGATAGGGGAACACTTCCCCAAACTCTTCCCTGCTCTCCTCACCTCTTTAATTCTGCTACCTCCTGGGCCTTCATCTCTGCCAGGGTCCGATTCAATTGTTCCTCCTCTTCCTCCTCCTTAGAGAGCTGCCTCGGGGTCCCAGCTGTTGAGTCCTCTTCATCACCTTCCTCCTCCTCTCCTGAGCTGAGGCTGACAAAACAGACCAAGGAGTTAGATTATTTTCTAGACACACACCCCCACCCCCCCAACACCCAGTCAACACCTGTGCTTTAGCTTCCTCCTCACCTGATGTCCAACGCCTTTGCTTGCTCTTTCAGCTTCTTGGCCACATATCGCCGGAGCTTTGTTCTCCAGTTCAGTAGGGACCTGTCCCAGAAATACCATTACAGACCTTACCACCTCCCTTTGTCCCTGCTTCTTCCTCTGTCATAGACCTACATCCCAAATTTCCTATTTGAGTCACAAATCCTAGGGCTCAGGTCCCCAGCCCAAACCTCTAGAACAACAGCATTATGCTCCGAGATCAACATCGTGGCTTTCAAAGCCCTTTCCCTTCCTCTGGCACTTACATCACCCCCACTTCATACCTAAGCTCCTTGCGCCCCAGCACTTTGATATCCTGACAGCACACCCGTATGTCCTCAGTGGTAGCTGGATGCTGGGCCAACTCTTCATCATCTAGTGCAATCTGTTTGGAAGAAGGGAGAGGAGTTGGGAAACATTCAGGCCATGTTTCCGGGGTTCCCTTCCCAATCCCCCAAACCTGGGACTCACTTCACTGGCTTTGGAGAGGAAGTCAACAGGATTGGCAGCTCGGAGGAAGTCAGTGACTGAGGTACGATGATAGAGAGTGAGGTCACCCTCAGCATAGCCTTCAGCCTTAGGAAGGGAAATAAGGTTGAGTGGTCCCTTATGTGGTGTCTATTGGACCCACCAGGCCCAATCTCCCCAGAGATCCAAGACCTGAGAGTGACCACATTACTCAACACACCTTTGGTTTCTTCTTAGTCACTAATTCAGTAACTGTCTTGGCCTGAACTTCAACCTCCTTGAAGGCAAATTTTGGGTCAAAGAATTTACTGTCAACCTTGTCAGGAGCCAGGTATCCTGAGATGATAGGATATATAAGAAAGTGTAAATTAAAAAAAAAAAAAAAAGTGTGCTTTGGTAGTTAAGAAACCAGTCAAGAGAAAGAAGGAAGGGATGCCCACCTACCCTGGCAGACTACAAAGATCTCTGCAGATTCATGGCGCGAGGCCTGGGGCTTGGTGGCCTGGACATGGCGGAACAGCTGCTGGAAGATCCATAGCAGGGGCTGATAGTCACGGGAACGGAAAACCTTTGTGATGAAGCAGCCACCACGGGCCAGAAAATCACAAGCCAAACGGAGAGCCATCAGTGTCAAATTGGCTGTGGGAGAGAAAGGATTAGCCGAGGACCAATGCAGCCCGACAGGCCACGCCCACCTCCACCATCTCCACGCCCCTGGCACCTTGTGAGTAAGCATCATGGACCCAGCTGGCCCCAACATTGGGGGCCCCGTCATTGAGCACAACGTCAACTTTCCAGGTCTTCAGCTCCTTCCTCAAGGCCTGCAAAGGAGGGAAGGGTTACAGAGCAGAAAGACAGGACTGGCTACAGATGGAGGAATCCCTGATTCAGTCATGTGCTCACCCAATCATTTGCTGAGTGTCTATTAAAGGCCAAATACTGTGCCTGGCCCAGGGGATATAACACATCTGCCAGGGTGGCGTGGCTCAGTGGTTAAGCTCAACCTATGAACCATGATATCACGGTTCAATTCCCCGTCAGGGCACATGCCCAGATTGCGGGCTCGATCCCCCGTGTGGGAGGCAGTCGATCATTGATTCTACCTCACCACTGATGTTTCTCTCTCTCCTTCTCCCTTTCTCTCTGAAAATAAATAAATAAATAAATAAATAAATAAATAACACTCCTTGCCTGTCTTCACAGAGCTTATAATCTACTAGTGAGCCTTCCTGGAAAGGATTTCACTGAAATCTCTGCTCTTCTTCCAATTTCAAACACCTCATTCCTGACCAAATAAAGGCTGAAGTGGATGAGGCCGATTCCAGGCTTACAGACATCATGAAAACACTGCTCAAGGCACAGTCAACGTGAAAAACATCGCCTTCAGAAAATGTGGGTGAGAAGAGAACAAAAGTGGATGTTTAGGGCTGGCTTTAGCTCAGCGGTTCCTTCGACTACAAAAGTGGATGTTTGCATATAAAGGGGATGGGAAGAGGGAGATTCTCATCACCTGCCTACAGCGTTCTGTTGTGATGTCCTCTTGGAGTGTCACCACATTGGGAAGAGGCTTGATGGGTACCAAATCCACCCCTAGACAATGAAGAAACCAGGTCAGAGTATTCCAAAAGGCTGCCTCAAGAAAGAAGGAAAAGCAGAACACATCACCTCGTACTCCCACCCCTGAAACACCCGTGCGAACCACCTGTCACTCACCCACAATAAGACTTGATACAGGCATAAACTTGGCAGCCACCTGCAGCCTAGGAAAGAAGAATAAAAATTAAAATACCCAAGACTTTTCCTTCCCAACCCCTGACAACATAAACCCTCTTCCGTGTTAGGAGCTCTGCTAACTGCAGTGGCCGGAGCAAGTCCTATGTACACGTCCCAAACCTCGGTGGTGTGTGTTCTGGGGAGTAGAGAAATTGAGGCTGGTATTACTGTAGCCGCCCTGCCTCCCCCCAATGCAACAACTGTCAGTCATCCCAAGCCGGACGGAACCCAGAAACCAGGCGCCGGGAGCGCCAGGTGCCAGGGTTACACACCATCCCCCTGGCGCAGCACACAGGTCCAGCAAGGCTCGGGCTTTCTGCAGGAACTGAAAGCGGCGATTCAGCTGAATCAGCTTGAATGCAGAGCGGGAACGATAACCTGGGGATGTCAACAAAATAATAAAGTCCACGAGGTGCTTTCCCGGCGGGATTTCTGTGGCCCCAGAACTCACTATCTCTTTTGTGAGAAAAACTCAATGTTGGGAAGGGGGCTGGGGGGGCGAACCTGACAAGTCGCTCGTCTCGCTCGCGGAGGGCGCACATTGGACTCACCAGTCTCCTTTGCCAAGTGATAGAACTTGTCCCGCCGGCTCTTCCCGACTTTGCCCTTCTTGCCCATGGTGGACGGGGGAGTGCCGCTCAATCTAGGGAGAAAGCAGAAACTGCGATGCTTCTTTCCGGGGCACTAGATTCCGCTCGCCGTGGCAATCACACTCGGCGCCTCACTCCACATCACTCGCAACCTCCGCCGTTTCCACAACTCCGGGAGCAGCACATGGAGGCAGCAACGTACTTCCGCTTCCGCTTGCGTAGCACGCGTGCCCGGCTTCTGTCATTAGGAGCGTGGCCACAAAAAGTATTTTACTCTGTCGCCAGGTTCTATAGAAACTGTAGGTTGGAACCAAGAGCGTAGACTACGTGAACTAAAACCGAGTTTTTAGAAACATTCAGGAGTTCCGTGCCCTTCCAAAACTCCCGACCTCGCGTAGCGCCGCCGACCTCCGGTCCGTCAGGGTCCCTGTTATTTGTTGTCATTCCCGCGCCACCCGGACCCTTGACCCGGATGCACTCTCTGCCCCCGTTTCCGGCCTCCGAGTCCCTGCTTCTGCGCCTGCGCGCAGAGGCGGCTGGGATGCCGGCGGTCTCCACTACGGAGGGAAGATGGCGGTGGATGGGCCTGAGCAGGTAAGTGGCGGCGGCGGCGGCGGCTGGGCGGGGGCCGGGCCTGGATGCGGAGCAGGAGCGATCCGAGGCGGGCCGCCGGCTGGGGCCAGAGGTCGTGGGTCGGGAGCGGGTGGTCCACTCCAGATCGGGCCCTGCCTGGGGCCGGATCTGCTGTGTCAGCGAGGCCCCCGGGGGTCAGGGTTGGCCGGGAGCGCAGACACGGCGGAGGCGGAGTGAGAGGGGAGCGATGAGAGCGGGGACGGGCGCGTCTTCGAGTCGCGGGAGACAGGAAACGCGTCCTTCCTCCCGGCTCCGCCTGTGGCAGTAACACCCGGGTCCGTAGAGCACCGGGCTCGGACAACTCGGACAAAGCGCCTCGTGCGTGTCTGTCGCCTCTTGGTCCTTCTGGTTCCTAAGAGGGAGGCGGCATTCGCGTTCTGCTTTTAGTTTAGTTATGGGGTATAAAGGAGGGTTCTAAAGAAATGCAGGAAGAGATTAGAACCCAGATCTGAGGCCTCCATCCAAGCTGGAAGTGGCTTGGCTATTTAGCCTGTTGTTTACTAATGACACTGTGTCTTCAGATGGAGCTGGAAGAGGGGAAGGCGGGCAGTGGACTCCGCCAATATTATCTGTCCAAGATTGAAGAACTCCAGGTGAGGACGGACTCCAGAGGGACAAAGGGAGCCAGCAGGGGGATGAATGGTTGATGGAGATTTCAACAGTCCATGGAATTCCACTGGGGCCAATAGGAAAACAGTTCGTTACACGTCTTCCAGAGTCATTCAGAAAAAGCCATTTCTTTGGGTAGAAGCCTGATGGAGAGGATTTCACATCAAAGGGAGGACACAGGCTCAGGACCTGAGGTTTATCAGATGGGGGTTGGAGTAGAGTAAGTGAAAGAAGGGGAAGACAGAATTGAGTCTGGACAATGCTGATAATAGGGGACTGAATGAAAAGGAATTGGCAACACAGTGCTCTCGCCTAAAGAGGGAGCCGGGACCATAGGAAAATAATGAATATGAATTGGAAAGTTTCTAAACTCCAGGTATATTTGCAGGTATTGTATATGGGTAAGGAAGGATAAACCATATACGATATCTGCAAATGTGATTTCATACCACAGCCCTGAAAAGAGTTATGGTGTAGTAATGCCATGCCCACTTGCAGTTGGTAACAGAACTAGATGTTTTAAGTGGCTCTACTTAGCAGTTAGTTGGCAGCAAGAGGGCTAGAACTTAGGCTTCTGACCCAGAGATCTTTCCACTGGAACATGTTGATATGCCATCCTGTGAGAAATTATCTACATGAGCCAGTTGTAATGTTGCCCCATTAGGGTTTGTTGTTCCTGGACCAATGTTAGACAAGTCGACTTTTTTGATCAGAGGGGCTGTTGCACAGGCCAAGGCCATTAGGATCAGAGAGAAGAATCTGAAACCTGCAGATGCCTGTGCTCTGCCCTCACTCAGTTCAGACCAGCCTGAGGGTCTTGACCAAGATCTGAACCTCCTACTTTTTTCTGCCTTTTGAAACTTCTTGTCCTCTCCGCAGCTGATTGTGAATGATAAGAGCCAAAATCTTCGGAGGCTGCAGGCACAGAGAAATGAGCTTAATGCAAAAGGTGAGGGGGAAGGTTGGCTACGGGCAGTTGGTCCGACTTCTGACTGTTCACATCTCTTTGAATTGTCTTCACGTTGGTGCTTCTGTATGGTGATGCCTCGAATTGGTATATAGTTACTCATATGCACATCTCCTTCCAAGCCCCACAGCAATCACCTTAAACAGAATTTTTACTTTCTTTTTGTAGCTTTCCCTTCCAAATGTGCTTGGTTCCTGGGTATCGAATTGAGTTATCGGGGAGGGAACACAGAAGCTGGGTGACCACTGTGTCTGTTTCCATCCAGTTCGCCTGTTGCGGGAGGAGCTGCAGTTGTTGCAGGAGCAGGGCTCCTATGTGGGGGAGGTCGTCCGGGCCATGGATAAGAAGAAAGTGTTGGTCAAGGTAAAGGCAGCATCACCCCAGGGACCATCTACTGAATTCCTGTGCCTTTGTAGCCTCCCAAGGACAGCATTCTGTCACATTATTTTTTTATTCTGGGACTTGGGGGTCTCCCTGGGGGAGGTTGGTGGTTTGGTGACTGTCAGGAAAAGTCATGAGCCCTGTTCCGTTAGGTGCATCCTGAGGGCAAGTTTGTTGTGGATGTGGACAAGAACATCGACATCAATGATGTGAGTGCAGCAGAGGAGGTGGGAGTTTGGGTCAGTTCTGTCCACCCAGCTTCCTGAAAGTCTCACCCCTCTTCCAGGTGACACCCAACTGCCGGGTGGCTCTAAGAAATGACAGCTACACTCTGCACAAGATCCTGCCCAACAAGGTAGACCCACTGGTGTCACTGATGATGGTCGAGAAGGTGCCAGATTCAACTTATGAGATGATCGGTGGACTGGACAAGCAGATCAAGGAGATCAAAGAAGTCATCGAGCTGCCGGTTAAGCACCCCGAACTCTTTGAAGCACTGGGCATTGCACAGCCCAAGGTGAGAAGCGGGGCTTCTGTGGGAGGACATTGTTCCTCAGACTGAGGGGAGGGATAAGCTGGCCGTCCTCACTGAAGTGGGCTGGGGGGGAGATACTGTCAGGACACTGTGGGGTTTGCATAAACACCAGAAAGGACCTTGGCATTCATTCTTTTATATCTCTAAGCTTCTAGTATGGGATCTAGCACAGAGCAAGCAGATAGTATAGTTCACTGAATGAAACGTGGGGCTGGCTTTCTGCCCTGAGACCTGCCGTTTCCCTCTAGGGAGTGCTGCTGTATGGACCCCCAGGCACTGGGAAGACGCTGTTGGCCCGAGCTGTGGCTCACCACACAGACTGTACCTTTATCCGTGTCTCTGGCTCCGAATTGGTACAGAAATTCATCGGGGAAGGTAACTGTGGCTAGAGACATGAAAACCAAGTGGAAGTGGCGGGGTGGGAGTGGGGGGGTGCTGGGGGGGGTGAGAGTGTGGGTAAGGTAGGGAAATCAACTCCTAATGCCAGTTTGGCCTTGGCACAGGGGCAAGGATGGTGAGGGAGCTGTTTGTCATGGCACGAGAACATGCTCCGTCTATCATCTTCATGGATGAAATCGATTCCATCGGCTCCTCGCGGCTGGAGGGGGGGTCTGGGGGGGACAGTGAGGTGCAGCGCACCATGCTGGAGCTGCTCAACCAGCTGGACGGCTTTGAGGCCACCAAGAATATCAAGGTGAGGTGGTGGTAGGATGGGATGAGCTGGGGGAAGGCCATGGGTGACATGCAACCTGGGAGGAGCCTAGTTGATGCCACCCCCCTTCTCCACTCAGGTTATCATGGCTACTAACAGAATTGACATCCTGGACTCAGCTCTGCTTCGCCCAGGGCGCATCGACAGAAAAATTGAGTTCCCACCCCCTAATGAGGAGGTTGGTGCTGGGCAGTGCCGGGCGTAGCTCTGGCTGGGGTGGGGGTGGGGGGTAGACAGTGGGGCTCAGGTTTTTTCTTATCTCTAGGCTCGCCTGGACATTTTGAAGATTCATTCTCGAAAAATGAACCTGACCCGGGGGATCAACCTGAGAAAAATTGCTGAGCTCATGCCAGGAGCATCAGGGGCTGAAGTGAAGGTAATCGGAGGGCCCAAGGAAAGGGCAGAGGCAGGAGGCTCTGGGTTCAAGGGCACAGCAACAGCCTGACTTCCTTTCCCTGCTCAGGGTGTGTGCACGGAAGCTGGCATGTATGCCCTACGGGAACGGCGAGTCCACGTCACCCAGGAGGACTTTGAGATGGCGGTAGCTAAGGTACAGGTCTCCATCTTTCCTGCCTTTGCTGATGGTGGCTCTAGCGCAGTGGGCATAGGGCCTGTGTTCACCCAGTTTGTAACTTAATGTTCTCTCTCTCTGCAGGTCATGCAAAAGGATAGTGAGAAAAATATGTCCATCAAGAAGCTATGGAAGTGAGGTGGATGGTCCCTGTGTAGATCCCTCAAATAAAGCTCTACAGGACAAGGCCTTTAGGACTTTGGTCTATTAATGAGTGCCGCACTGTTCAATGACCAGGTCTGAGCAACACCAATAAACAAGGATTTATTTGGAAATTTCCAAACCTGCCAGAAGTGGCACTTCCCAAGCCCTAGGCCCGCCCTTATCAAGCTCCAAATGGCAGCGAGTCCCCTGCCCTCTCCCAAGCACACACCCATGCCTCAGGCCATGCCAGAGCGCTTGAGTGTCCCCTTCCTCTAGGGGGCTTTGTAGCCTGGGCCCCAGAGCTTGAGTGGCAGCCCTCTGGCACCCCAGGAGATGATGGCGGCCAGAGCCGCTTGCATAGATTGAGGAAAGAAAATAAGGGAGGAGGCACCAAACAGGGCTCCCTGGAAACCCCCAACTTTCCCCTGTACAAAAAATGGCTCCCCCATTGAAGAACCTGCTCCCCAAATAGTGCAAATACCCAAAGAAGAGGAAAAAGCCAGCAGCGAGGCTGGGCTGGTCGGAATGGCAGAGAACTTTGGCTTCGAAAGGGTAGGAAGAGTCAGCCGAGCCCCTCTTCCTTGCCCAGCTCCCCAGAGCCAGCCAGGGCGCGTGCCCCGACGGGGAGTCTGTAAACAAGCACAGCCAGTGGCCTTTGGTTCTGAACCTTCTCCCTTACAATGTCAAAGGCCCCCAGTAGTCCTACTTGGGCCTGCCTGCAGGGGGCAGAGGCATTTATTGTGAACCCAATTAAAGCCAACGCATAAAGTAAGTAATAAGGCTTTTGGGGACCAAGCAACAAGGAATCCTATCGCTACGTTTATGAAACTAACACTGGAAGCTGAGGGTAACAGGACAAACCCTCACCCCGCTCCTTATTCTATGTGTCTGCAGCCTCAGATGGTGGTCCCTTCCAGGCTGAGAAGGGGATGATTCCGGGCTGGGAAGAGGGGAAGGGATCCCTGAGCAGTTAGGTCAGGCGAATTCCCAGCACCTGTTCCAGTTCCTGCCGTCGCTGCTGCACCTGGAAGAGACCAGCAGTTCAGCTGCTGCTGCTCACAGCCACAGGAGGACAAACGGGGCAGAGTCTCACCTTGGCAAAGATATGCCTCCCCACTGCTTCCTGGGCCCAGGGCTGGTGGTAGAAAGCAGCTCGTCTCTCCTCCTCAGGATTCCCGATCACATCAGTGATGATCTGCAAAGAGCCAGGGAAAAGTGGTAACAATTCCCACTCCTGAGCCCCCGAACCAGTAGTGATGGGGGTGAGATCACCTAGAGGTTAACCCGGTCTCATCAGGAAAGAGGACCACACCTTGAGGTCTCGGCGCTGGGAACGGAGCCATTCCTGGATGAAGTCCTGGGGGTCAGTGCTAAAGCTGAGCATGAAATCCCTCTGGGTCTTCAGCTGGTTGATGGACTCAATGGTCTCATGGATCTAGGGGGAGGGACATATGCATGTGTCAGACTGGCCCCCACTTCTGAGGAGTCTGTTTCCAGACCTAACCACAAAGGACTTGGACAGAAATCCTATCCCAAGGTGCTACATGTACAGAAATGCCAACAGAGACTGCAATCCCATCTTGAGCCACATGGGGGAGGGGGAGAGCAGAAGGCCCACCTTGACATCAAGGGAGGCGATCTCCTGCTGATTGGTGGTAGAGGCCAGAAAATTGCTCATCTGGGCCTTGAGTGGGTCATCCACCTCCACGTCAATGTCATAGCAGGCCGTCTTCTTCTGGTCATTGGGGTCCACGCTGCGGGCAGCACGCAGGCGAGGATGAGTACATGGTATCCCTCCCACCCATCTGGCCCAACTGCACACACTGAGGGAGCAAGAAACCAGACCTGCTGCTTCTCTTTAGCTCAATCGAAAGGCAAATTGCTCTTAGACAGCCTTCCCAATGCCCTCTTCCCACTGACCTAATGACATGGTTGATGACAATGGGGTCTGGATGCTGCAGCAAGCCCGCCAGCTTCATGGGAATCTCGGAGAACCGGAGCCGACCACAGCTGAAGATCTGGAGAGAATACAAACATGCCTTTGGGCACGGGGAAGCGGGTCCTCGCAGGGAAGTGTGAAGAATGTGGACAAGAGCTACTCAGTGGGGCTCTGGGACAGCAGGCAAGGCAGGGGCTGCAAGACCAGGGGAGTTCCCGGCTAACCTGGCGGAAGTAACGGTTGCAGTTGATGTACTCGCGCTCATGCCCGTCCTGCAGCTGGTTGTGTTTGATGTAAAGCCACAGGGCCTGCATGATGGCGGCCCTGGTCTGTGTGTGCACTCCCAGCAGCCTTGCCAGTCGGGGGTCCAACTTGTACTGAGGAGGCTGGGGATGGAAGGAAGTCAGAGGAGGAGTTCTTGTGAAACACCAATGCCAAACAGTAGGGCGGGAACAGGAAAGGTTTACAATAAACCTGCCCCTGTCCCTGAGATGTGACCCCAGTCACCTGATGATCCAGCATGAGCAGGAGGGTGCACTTGACGTTGAGGTCTCCAGGCCGTTTCACCTGGAAGCCATCTGTTTCCTGGGTGGTGGGCATCCGATGCCACTGGCAGGGAGGAAGGGAGCATAGCTCATCACCAAGGGGTGGGCATGAACATACACACACTTGGCCCTCTCCACGGGGACTGAGCCTCTTTCTCTGTGCACCCGGCACATCAGCCCGTGCTCCCACGCCCAGGCCACTCACCTCCACCAGGTGGTTGTCAGGCCCGTACAGTTCCTTGTCTAGCTCAATGACGAGGCTCTTAAAGAATGATGAGAACTTCCTCTTCTGTTTGCTAGGCTGGGGAGGGAAAGGGGTGAGATGGGAGTGCTGCTGAGCTTTCAAAGCTAAGCTATGCTAAACCCCCAAGAGAGGAATACTGTTTCAGCCTGAAGTTCAGGATACTGAGGATTCTTGGGCCCTGAAGGAAGCAGGGGAAAAGTGAATGACTGGAAGTAGGAAAAGGACTCTGCAGCCCCACTGTTAACTGACATAGGATTTTGAATTAAAAAAGGGACACCCTAGCTGGCTTGGCTCAGTGGATAGAGCGTTGGCTTGTGGACTGAAAGGTCCTGGGTTCAATTCCAGTCAAGCACTTTACTGCCACCTGTAGGAGAACTGTTGTAATAACCATACAAATCTCCAACTCTCCAACCTCTGACTGGCTTGGCCCTGTGCAAAGCTTGACCAGGAGCACTGCCCTTTCCCTCAGGCAGGACTTCCCAGAAGTGCCCAAGTGGCTGGCCCCCGTCTTTAAATCCACACAGGCCATGTCCTCTCCAGACAGCCTCTTCCCAACTCACATCATCCAGGAGTTTTCCTTCCACGCGCAGTTCCCAGGAAGCCACCTTGTCCCCTGATGGGGTTCCCCCAGGGGTCCCTGCAGTTCCTGCACTGTCACCTTCCGCCTTGCTGGGACTGAATGTATTGGAAATATAGATCCGCAGCTTTCGTTTTTGCTGAAAAGAAAAAGACAGTTAGAGGTGGACCAACATGTTAGAAAACAATGCTACCCTCTCTTCCCATCTGAACTCGTTCAACGTCAATACTGAGTGGCAGCTATGGGCCAACACCTTGTTAGGCTCCTTATCCTGGCTTCAAGGGACTCCTAGTTTTATGGGGGAACAGATGCACCATCCACAGTCCCAACACAGTGGTATCAGTGGACACACAAGTGCTATCAGGCAAATCAGAAGCCTCTGGCTCATATTTAAAAAAAAGCTCATCATGGCCCCAAAACATTCTTGTCTCAATGAAAGCCTTCACCATTTAGGGAACTGTGTTAGATTATCATTTAAAAAAAGAGAGAGAGAAAGAGAGAGAGAGAGAGAAAAGAAGAAAAAGGAAAGCTTCTCTAGGGATGGGTAAGGAGATAAGAATTATTCTACTCTATTCTCCTGTTTTACCTTTCAAACTTCTTACCATGATCAACATGATTTGCATTTTATTTACTTTTTAAACTTTAATATATTTTTTATTGATTTCAGAGAGGAAGGGATAGAGAAGAAAAAAATCAATGATTCAGAGAGAATCATTGATCGGCTGCCTCCTGCGTGCCCCCAACTGGGGATGGAGCCCGCAACCTGGGCAGGTGCTCTTGACCAGAATCAAACTCGGGACCCTTCATTCCACAGGCTGATGCTCTTTCTGCTGAGCAAAACCAGCTAGGGCAGTGGCCGGTAAACTGCAGCTCGAGAGCCACATGCGGCTCTTTGGTCCCTTGAATGTGGCTCTTCTACAAAATACCACATGTGGGCGCGCACATACAATGCGATTGAAACTTTGTGGCCCATGCACAGAAGTTGGTTCTTGGCTCTCAAAAGAAATTCCAATCGTTGTACTGTTGATATTTGGCTCTGTTGACTAATAAATTTGCCGACTACTGAGCTAGGGCAACATGATTTACATTTTTAATCATGACCCAGGATCCGCACTCATCTAAACACCTGAAACAAAAATGTTATGAATAATACTTCTACTACTATAAGTTCTTTACTATGGAGAATTATTATAATTGCTACTATTTTGTATTTCATAAAAAACATGCTGGTCCCACCATATTAACCGAGTTCATGCTCCACTAAAGGCTGCATCGGCAGTGAAAAATCCTGCTCCAGCCATCGCAGACCCTCCCTCGGCCCCAGAAAACCAGGCCGAGGAGAGGCGTGGGAAGGCCCCGGATTAGCAGGGCTGCACACACCGTCAGAGGCTTCTTTATGGCCTCCTGGATCTCCATCCGCTTGCGAGCAATGGTCTGGTCCAGCTTCCGCTCAAAAGCCAAGAGGTCCATGTACGCCTGAGACTCTGGGACGAGCTCCCGAATCTGGAGGGAGGGAGAAGGAATGCACCCGTTGCTTCAGCTGCAGCTCTGGCTCTTTCTTCTGTCCCTTCCCCATCGCAGGGCAGGGGAGATTGACTCCATCATAGTCAGCCATTGGGTGGGCCCCCTATTACCATTCCCAACATACTCACTCGCTGAGGTAGAACCTTATCTGCCATCTTCCTCCTCTTCAACCTGGGGAGGACAGAAACCCAATTAGTAGGTCAATGGCCCAAAGGACCCCCAACCCCATCTATCCCTCCCGCCAGTCCCCAGAGTCCTCCCCCAGGAGAACAATGAGCCTTCCTCAGTCACTGCAGTTCTTAGGATGGAGGAAAGCCCTCTGTTGCCACTACAGCTGTTGCTAGGTAGAGTGGGAAAAATAGGCTTACCCCCGGCGCTGGGCAGGCATTGGGGGCTGGGCCTGGGGCACAAGCAGGCGTTTTCGGAATGGGTCCATCATGGTGGGTGGCATGCCAGGTCGAAGTGGAGCAGCTGTACCAAATGGGGAGCCCGTCGGGGGTCCCACCTGCAAGCCAGCCATAGGCATCCGGCTCCCTGGTGACATGCCAGGCCGCTGGGGGAAGTGAGCCAACGGGGGTGCACAGGTCAGTGGCAGGGCCCTGTGAGGCCCAGAGCCCACCCCCTCCATCCCTGTCCTCGGCTGGGTCCGGCCCTGAGCAGCACGCCGCAGAGGCCAGGCTCCAGTGCCAGAAACAAAGGGAAGCGGGTGTCTGAGAGCAGAAGTGTAAGCCACACCTGCCCCGCCCCTCCAACCGCCCTGCAGCGGTGCCAGCGAATGAGGCCCGCAGAGCCCAGGGGGTGGGAGGAGAATCCTGCCTGCAGAGGGAAAGGCCTGGGGAGTTTTCAGGGCCTAATGCCACCTTCCAGCCCCAGCAGGCTCTGCCCCTGCTCCTGGGGACTAGCCAGCTTCACGGCACTCTTAAGGCCCTCAGAGGTCCAGCCAAGCACTCCGTCCTTCCAGGATGGAGCAGCACAGCACGGGAGCCGGCGGTGTCATCACCAAGCAGCAGGATGTAGTGTGTGGTATGCGCAGGCTGACCGGGCAGAGCCTTTAAACCCACCCCCTGTTGCCAGCCTGGCGCTGTGCCTGCGGGGAGAAAGACGTTCAATGGGCTGGCAAGCCCATCCAGCAGCAGCACCCCAGGTAAGCAAGCTGCAACAGGATGGCTTGGACATGTCTCAACTGGTGGGGGTGGCCACAGCACAGCATGAAAACATCTGGTCACCATATGGCCCCTACTCACACCCCAGAACTGGACCCTTCGCTCACCTCTTACTGCCCAGCCCCCACCCCTATACCAGGAGATCCCCACAGGGAAGCTGTGGCTCCTGGGAGACAGAGCAGCTGACACCTGGACTTTGCCTATGTCCACACACCACCTGGCTCAATGCAGCCTTCACACTCCCAACCGGGAGAATGGAGATAAGAATATCCTGGGCCGAAACCGGTTTGGCTCAGTGGATAGAGCGTCAGCCTGTGGACTGAAAGGTCCCAGGTTCGATTCCGGTCAAGGGTATGTGCCTTGGTTGCAGGCACATCCCGAGTAGGGGGTGTGCAAGAGGCAGCTGATTGATGTTTCTCTCGCATCGATGTTTCTAACTCTCTATCCGTCTCGCTTCCTCTCTGTAAAAAATTAATAAAATATATATTTTTTTAAAGAGTATCCTGGGACACAAGGGGCAGAGTCATAGGGGCAGCAGAGGAACCTGGGTGACAGAAATGACTTCTTTAGAAGCTTCTAGGCTTTCCCAGAGGTCCAGCTCCCCAACATTTGTGGAGCCCATCCTGGAGTAACCTCTCCCCACCGCCCTTCCCATGGCTGCTGTCTGCAAGGCCCGTTTGGCAGCTCTGCTCACACACAGGCCCTGGCAGCTTCACAGGGCTGGCCCCGGGGCCCAGCTTATGCAACCGGCACAACCAGCCAACCAAGCCCGGCTGGGTGGGGACTCGCACCAACTCAAAGGACCCCTGCCCCGGCGCCATGGAGATGAGATTCTCCCCCCATCTCTTCATCCAGCACAAAACCCATGTTCTCACCCAGAGGGTCAGATTCTCGACCAGGAGGAGAGATGGAGAGAAACATAACCCAAAAGCATGGGGAAGGAAGCATTTGAGATTTAAACGTGGGGGGGGGGGGGGTGAGGGCTCTGGGGCCTCAGGATTCCTGCCATAAGTCTCTCCTCATCAGAGAGATTCATCTGAGCTGTTGAAAGGCAAAAGACAGCCGTTTCTCTGCCTTAATGAGCCATGGCCAGAGATTACAGAAAAAAAGTCAGTGTGACCACAGCTGTAAGCCCAGCATCCTCCACGCGCCCCTCTCCCCACCCCCCTCACCCCGGACATCCCAGATATGTTTTTCCCAACCAGTGCCTGATCCAAAGGGGAGGAACCGAGGCAATGAAACTTGCAGAGGGCGAGCTAGGCCCCTGTGCCACTCACTGGAGCATTCACAAAGCCTCTGCAGCACCACCCCCTCCCCTGGGCAGGTGCTCCGGTAACGAAGGTTCCAAGACAAGGCAGCACAGGCAGGCCTGGAGGCCCCTCCCAGACATCTGCTCCAGCCTTCCAGGCGCTGAGCCCCCAGCGCCCCAGGGCCCGGCTTCCTCCAGGAGGGGAGGGGCCCAGGGGAGGGCTGCTTAAGTTCATCAAGTCCCAGCGTGGCCCTGCCAAGCTCCACCAGAAACTCTTCCTCTCCCAAAAAAACAACCTAAAGATTATAAAAAAGAAAAAAAGAATGTAACCCAGAACTTTCAAGCTCCCTAACTCCCCCCCTGCAGCAGGGCTATGAAGGTCTGGCTCAGTGCCCTGAACCCCAGAAGCACGGGGTGAACTCCTGGCCCTGCAGCCCAGCACCAACCCACATTCTAAGCTTTATTTACCTCCACCACCCAGGAGCAGGAGGCTGTGCCTGATGCTGCCCCCTCTAGGCCTCCAGAAAGCACGCTCAGCCCTGCCTCAAAGCTGGTGGCTGGGCCTAAGGGGCTAGAACAGTGGTCGGCAAACTGTGGCTCGCCAAGCCACGGTTTGCCGCTCTGTTGTCTAATGAGTTTGCCGACCCCTGGGATAGGGGCTTAATCGCAAGGAACAATAACTGCCTATAACCACTGGACTCGAGAGTCTAGGTCAGCGGTCAGCAGTCTCGAGCCGCAGTTTGCCGACCGTTGGCCTAGAAGAAAACATACCCCTCCACAAGTGAAAACTATTTCAGACTCTCTGGCGTGAACCCAGCAGTTTCTTTGTTGTTTGCATGACGCTCCTCATTGGCTCTGTGATCCACAGCGAGAACCACCGTCCGGAGGCTCTTCTGTTGCCAACGTGGGCCCTGAAATCCTTGCTCTTCCAGCTCACCTCACGTGCCCTCACAGACAGGACCCCCTTGCTTCTCAGATCTCAAGTCCCTTCTCCTGGAGCACGCAACTGGACTTGGTTAGAGGCCAAGTCCTTCAATTCAGGCAGGGAGAACTGGGTCCTCCCTTCCCTCCTCCCTCCCATCAACCTCTACAGCCTCCCTCTGGATAAGGAGCTGGTGGGGTGGGAAGCCCAGGGAAGCAGAGAGGCTCAGTGCCTCATCCTTTTTCCCACCCCCAGTAGCCTGGGGCCACCTAACCGCCCGCTCAGTCTTGCCACTGGCTCAAGGTCACTCCCAGCAAGTGGCTGTGGAATCCATCCTCTCCTGGGCTTTCCCCAAGGCCCATTCCCCATGGGCTGCAAGCTGAGGAACTGGAGAGGCTGTCATTCCTTAGATCCTTCTCAGGCCAAAGGCCCACAGGAGGGCTCCCAGGCCAGGGCTCGGCGAGCTGACCCCAGGGCTGGGATGACTGATGCAGGCATCCTTTTGGGACACCTTGGGCCCATGAATCCCCCAGGGGAAGAGCAAGATGAGAAAGACAGACCCCCGCTGGAGTCCAGACCAGGTCTGTCTCTGTCAACAGCCAAATCTTTTGTTTTTCTTTTGTTGTTGTTTTTGTTTTTTCTTAGAGGGAGCAAGGAGAATGAGTAGTAAGAGGGAAAAATCGCTCTTCCCAGTTAATTATCTCTTCAGGAAGTGGGGTCCAGGGCTCCTGGGGAGACAGCCGTACCCTAATTCCATGAGGACATAAAGAATAGAAGCCCCAGCTTCCTTCTTCCCCTCAAACTTGCCAGGAGCCAGTGCCAAATGGCACATGGGTTGGAATATGGCATTGCTAGAACTTAAAGGCTAAATAAAAGTGGAGCGGGGACAGGAAAAAGGATGGGTGCAATTCCCAAGTACTGTGGGACAACCGGAGACCACGGCTGGGAGACTGATGGATCCCACTGGCGGAGTCAGGCTAAGTTCCTCACACAGGCGCCCAGTCTCTGCCTCTCAATGGCTTTTGAAGCTGCAACCTGAGAAGCTCTCTTGGAAGCCAAACCCCAAAGGGATCTGGATGGAACCCTTTGAAGCAGCTCTCTCAGGATCCTCCAGCCCCAGAGCAGCAGGACGCAGTGGAGCCGCTCTGCTCCTCCAAACAAATCAACTCCTGGACACTGCGACACCAGGCAGAGCGCCAGGAAGACAGTCTGCCCAGCAAGGGCCGGGCTGCGTCCTCCTTCGGGCCTGGCCACCACTGTCTCTGGTCCAACTCAGAGTCCTCCCGGGAAAGGACTCCCGGGCCTGACCCAGGGGGTCGACTCTCCACTGCACAGGCTGAAAGCCCCTGCCCTAGCCCAGGCCTCCGGTGCCCGTGGGAAGTCAGGCCCTTCCTCCTCCTCCTTAGCAGCTGGGAGCCATCTCAGGCTCACTCGGACCCTGCCAGTTCCCAACTACAAACAACAGAGCAGACTTGGAGTGGGACCAAGGCCCACTGCAGGGTAACCCTGGTTTCTCGGGGAGGGCCCTTTCTCAAAACTTTCGGATCACTTCCTAGACACCCCCTGCCCTTAGGACCTACAATTTCTCAGCCAGCCCGCCCACAACGCATGGGCTCCCACCACTCCTCCATCTCTCAGCGACTCAGAATCCCTGTTCGGAGGAAGCACCGGGGCCCTCCCAACTGCTTCAGACCCTCCACCCTCTTACCCCGTCCCCTAAGCGCTCCGCCGCCACCTCGCCGATCCCGAGGCTCCCTGGCCTTGCCCTCCACATTGTCCCGTGCGCTCCACATGCAGGGCCCCCGCACCTCCAGCCCAGAAGGCGGCCTCAGGACCCCCTCCCGCGCCCTGACACCCGCGTGCTCGCGGCGCCGCCCGCCCGCCCGCCCCACTCACCTGGTACTGCGCCGCGGGGCCCGCGGGGCCCATGGGGCGGAAGGCAGCGGCCCCCGGGCCCCCCACGCCTCCCGCCGGCCCCGGCCCTCGGAGCGCCGGTCCGGGCAGCATGCCGGGTCCGCCAGGCGGAGGCGGCGCTCCCAGAGCCGCGGCGACGGCACCGCCGCCGGGACTCAGCGGGGGCAGCGGGAACCCGCCCGCGCCGCGGCCAGACATCACTCCGTCCCGTCCGGCGATGCAGCGGTCCGCACTCCGGGCTTCGCGCCGAGTCCGCTCCGCGATCCGTGCTCCGGGACTTGCCGCTCTAAATTCCGGTTCTCGGGGTTTGTTGATCCGGGTTCCGGGATTTCCGAACCCAAGTTCGCGAGTTCCTCACAGACCGGTTTGGGGCAGGGCCGGTCCTGATTCCGGTCCGGCCCGGGAAATCCTAGTTCCGGGATCTGCCACAGGCCGGCCTGCCTCCCCCCGGCCTCCGGAGGTTTGGCCGCCCGAGTCCAGTTAACCCGGAGGCGGCAACTAGCTCCCGGCTCCGTCCAGCCCTGCCCTGCGCTAGGCCCCGCCCACACCCGGCAGCCCAATGCGGGGCTGCCTCCTCAAATCCCGCCCTCGCGAGACCCGCCCCCAACAGGCAGGGCTCCTAACCGCCGGCTCCAGGGCCCTGCCCACATCCCTTGGGCCGGCCCTTCGCGGGAAGGGCGGGGGCGGAAGCTGCGCAAGGAAGCGCCGAGCAAGGTGCGGGTCATAGGTCGAAGGTCACTTAGGGCTTCAGCCGCGGGTGGTTGCTGCTCTCTCCCCGGTGCACCCTACTCTGCTCGCTAAGGCACCGGCCGCCGCGCTCCCCGAGATAGTTTTGTCAAGGCTCTACGTTTTCAGCAATAGAGATTCAACTTAGAGCTGCGCTCAGGGGCAGAACTGCCACCAATTTAGCTTTCTTTAAAAGTCCACATTGGAGCCGAAACCGGTTGGGGTCGGTGGTAGAGCGTCGGCCTGCGGACTGAAAGGTCCCAGGTTCGATTCCGGTCAGGAGCATGTACCCTGGTTGCGGGCACATCCCCGGTAGCAGGTGTGCAAGAGGCAGCTGATGGATGATTCTCATCGATGTTTCTAACTCTCTATCCCTCTCTCTTCCTCTCTGTAAAAAAATTTTTTAAAAAAATCAATAAAATATATTTGTAAAAAAAATTAAAATTAAAAAAGTACACATTGGAGAAAAATATAATAAAAAATAATAAATAAGTAAATAAATAAAAGTCCACATTGGTTCCGACCTGCCAAGGGACCTGCGCTACCTCGGATCCAATCCAGCTGTGTTAAGGGTTGACCTGGCCAGGCGCCGAGTTCTTGCCGCATTTTTTAACAACGTGGCTCCGCTTCAGTTTAAGACTGGTACTTACTCCACAGGAAATGTTTCTAGGCGAAGGAATTTTATTATGACAAAACTCAATGCAGTTAAGTGAGGTCTTTCTCTAGGATTTATAGCACCTAATTTTCAAAAGTTAAATACCTTTTCAGAAACCACGGCCCTGCCTCAGAAGGTATTCAAAATAAAAGTGCGTCAGCTATGGCGGAGAGCCCACCCTCTTGGCTGGTGATAGGGGTTTTTCTTCCCATGATACAGGCCAGTGCTTCTTAAAGCTTAATGAATATAAGAAACATCTGGGACTCTTGTCAGAAATACAGATTATGACTCTAGTAGACGTGGTGTCTGGAGTAGGGCTCAAGTTTCTGCGTTTCTAACAAGCTCCCATTGCTCTCAGGTGGAAAATCACAGTCCCTCCCATGAAATAGAAGGTCCTGAAGGGACTGGCTCCTGCTTACCTCCTCGGGCTCATTTTAAATCTCTGCCTTTGGCTCTCCAAGAGTCAATCTAGAGGTTCTTGTGACAATTTCCCAAACTGCTAACCCCCTTCCCACCACCAAAACCTTTCTGCCTGCAGCTCTTCCTTTTCTCCTCTCCCTTTATTACTTCTTCCAAGTGATTATCCCAATATATAATTACTTTTAAGTATTATATTTTATTGATTTCAGAGAGGAAGGGAGAGGGAGAGAGGGATAGAAACAGCAATGATAAGAGAGAATCATTGATTGGCTGCCTCTTGCATACCCCCTACTTGGGATCAAGCCCTGAAACACAGGCATTTGCCCTTGACCGGAATCGAACCTGGGACCTTCCAGTCCACAGGCCGGTGATCTATTTACTGAGCAAAACAGGCTAGGGTAAGAACTATCTCTTTATTTTATTTTTTTGAAGTGAGATATACAATACCTAAAATTAACCCTTTTAAATGATTCAATAGCATTTAGTACATTCAGTGTTGTGCAACCACCACCTATATCTAGTTTCAAACCATTTTCATCACCCTGAGAAAATTCCATACCCATTAAATAGCTGCTTATAAAGCCATACACTTTTATTTTGGTAAAATGTACAGAAATTAGCACCTAATAAAACAAGAGGTCGCCAGACCATGACTGTACACAGCACAGCCTAACAGGTGCTGTCACTATTGTCCAACAATGAGGCAGGTCAGGACTTCATGGAGATATCAGGGCTCTGTGATGTAGGCAGGTCCTGGTGCCCCTTAAATCTCAGGCTCCACAAGTGTTAAATGGGGTGAGTGTGCCCAACTCATAGGATTGCAGGCATGAGTGAATGCTCAGTGTCTGCCCCAATTGGGGCCAGCCAGGCTGGACCCCACCAGTGCATAAATTTGTGCATTGAGCCTCTTGTCTTTAATAAAAAATGATAGTATACATCAAACCTATATCAAAATATATCAACCCTACCTGTGCCTGGGCTTACACCATCTATCTCTCTGCCTCATCTCTGCAGGGTGAGGCTCAGAGAGGTGGAGGAACTCAGTCAAAGTCACAGGGCCAATAAATGGCAGTCTATCTGGCTCCCAACTTTCTCTACTGTACTACACTTCCTGAGCTGCCTCCATTCCATCTTCTGCCTCAAAAGGTGGAGGTTCCACAGTTGGTTCTCACATTTGAATGTGGCATCCAAATTTGATAAGCATTGTTATAAAACAGTGATTGACCTTTGACTTCCCTGGAATGAATTTTTAAATGCCAAAGCCAAAGTTGTGGGTTTGATCCCTGATCAGGGCACATACAAGAATCAACCAATTGATGCAAAAATAAATGGAACAACAAATAGCTCTCTCTCGTTCCTCTCTAACAAAAAAATCAATAAATAAAAAAAAATTAGGTATATGGTAGCACAGGTAAGTCTCTTGGTGTTGAGGGACCAACAAGGTGGGATAAGAAACTAAAAAGACCTCATTCCAAATCCCAGCTCTACTACTGGATAAAATGGAGATATTGTCCCCCTCCTTAGCCTACCCCCATACACTACCTGGGCATGGGCCACTGCTGGCCTCTAGTGGCCACTGGATAAATTGCAGAGAGTTGGCCTGAAAATGGGGATGTGTGAGAAGCTTTTTTATATGATGCTGGCGTCCTCAAGCTTGACAGATCCATAATTCCCTCTTCCATAAACTGTTATCAACACTCTGATTTAATAAACTTGATATGTTAATGTAATTTTCATGGTTTTAGAAACGTGTTATTCCAAATTTTAATTTGCCTTTGACCGAAAAAATAGGAGGGGGAAAAAACAGTGATTGACCTTTGACTCCCGTGTGTGTGTGTGTGTGTGTGTGTGTGTGTGTGTGTGTGTGTCTTAGTCTCCTTTTAGTTGTAGCCAGAGTATGGAGCCTATATAATTCCTCCTTTGGAAGGAATTTGTAGTCTATTTTATAAATGATTTGTAAAGTATTTGAAAAGGGATCTATTCTGTGAGGTGAAGTTTAAACCTGATGATAAAGACACTCACAGTCTTATATGATTTCAGTAAGCCTAAGTGGTGACATAAGCTACCCGTAGATCTGCACCCGCACCTTTTTCCACGCTGGTGTCTTCGGCCCAGCATAAGTCCCTAATCTTCGTCATCCATATCCATCCTCTTTGTCTCATTGTTCCCCCGTGTCTTTCTGCTCTGTATTTGGTTAACTTCTCAAATGTGTGACCTCACCTTGGTTGAGTTTTCTGCAGTGTGGATCCGCTCCTCTGCCTTCAGTGCAGATTCCATCTCTGTCACTGATTTTGGTTCTTTGTATTCTTCATTTCAGCAGGCTGTATCATTTGAGGTTTTTCTTGTATCTTTTTAAAAAATATATTGTTTATTGATTTCAGAGAGAAAGGGAGAGGGAAAGAGATAGAAACATCAATGGTGAGAGAGAATCATGGATTGGCTGCCTCCTGCATGCCCACACCGGCATGTGCCCTTGACTGGAATCAAACCCGGGACCCCTCAGTCCGCAGGTTGATGCTCTATTCACTGAGCCAAACCAGCTAGGGCTTTTCTTATATCTTATTGAAAACTTAAAACAGACATTTTCTCATATTTTCCATAGCAATTGATTTCTACTATTATCTTTAGAACTGGCAAGAGGAGCTCCTACCTGGGCCCTGTACTTTCCAGTCCCCCTCATACAAAATAATTAACTATATCAAGGACCTCAGGACCTGGCCTGCTGCCTGCACAGCATGACCCACTAAACACCCACTCTTGACTGGGCGGTGCTTCTTCACATCTTACCTAGGTCTCTGGGAGCGAAAATACAACTGCCTCTGCAGTTTTAAGGAAAGCTTAATGGGGACCATGCTAGGTACTATGTGAAAGTGCAGAGAGGCTTTGAGTAGAAAAGTACTTAAGTAAGAGAAAAGACAAATTAATGGGCTTGTCAGAGCTTTCCTCTCAAATAAACAACAGAAATGAGTGCAATGAAATAGCATTTTCTAGTAATGCTGACTGTACAATTTCTTCTTGTTCTTGTGTTCCTGTTAGTGGTTCTGGGAGTACCTGTGAGTTGGTACAGTATTTGCCTCAGTTGTAAGTGGAAGCTGAGGACATTTTTGCAATATTACATAAATCACGTTACGCACCACTCTTAAATTTGTCTGTATGTCTGCACTTTAGACATAACATGATACTAATTATTTACAGTGGTAGCTAGATGGACATTGAATGCTAGAATTATACATTTTAATATTTTTGCATAAAAAGTTACTTATGTTTTAATATTTTAATTAAAATTATAATTTACATTTAAAATTTAGAGTTACTTAAAATTGAATTAAGCTTTCAAAGACACAGTCAGTTTGCATGGTTAAGACCAGAGTATTTCCAAGAGAGTGATGATGTCACAGAACTGGGGTTCCAGGAGGCAGGGGGTGGGGGATGGGGGTTGCCCAGAATTCCCACCTTCTTTAGAACAGGCAGAGCTGTGAGCTGGGTGGGGCTAGAGTATATAGTACATGAGGAAGAGGAGGCTCCTACCCAAACAGCTTTGTTATACAGATTCTCACAGAGGTTCCTGGGCCAGCTGGGGCTGGAGTAAGAGAGAGGTAGGAGAGAGGTCAGCTTCAGAAGAGGAGGTAAGAATGCACCTGCCAGAACCACTGTGTTCCCCAAGGGGACCTCAAGAGCAGACTTCACTGCTTTCCACGGCTCAGTGACACGTGACTCTGAAGGAACCTGCTCAGTCAGGACAGGGTAGGGTTGCATGAGACATACTTATACTAAAAGACTATTCGTAGTTTGTCTGAAAATTCTACTGTAACTAGACATCCTGTGATTTTATTTGCTAAGTCTGGCACCTCTAGGGTGGGAGACAGAAACAAAAGAATGCTTGCAAGCTCAGGATGGCATGGAGTGAGTCTTAGAAGACAGAACAAAAGGTCTGTGAGGAGACAGGTCATCCGGGTAGCCACCTTGTTCAAACAGAAAATGCTTCATGTCTGACTCATGGAGCTGGAGAGAGAAACTAAGGAGAGAGAAACTAAGGCCTTAGCTCTCAGGAACATATACCTAGTGTAAGGGGAAAGATACACACGCACACATACACACGTACATGCACGCACACACACAAACACCACATGTGTAAAAATAGCCCGTTCTTTGTTTTCATGGCATTGACTGTTTTGAAGAATATAAGCCAGTTATTTTCTAGACGTTCCCTCTGTTTGGCTTGTCTGATGTTTCCTTGGGATTAGATACAGGTTATGCATCCCCCGTCAGAATAGTACATAATGATTAAGAAGAGACTGGAAACAGCCAGGAGGGGAGCCATGAGTGAGCGGGGATGTTTGGCTTCTCTTTGCAGATTTCTCAGACTCTCAGAGAAAACCATCAGGAAGTCTGTGAGACCCTAAGAACTGCAGGCCCCCAGCTAACCTTCTCCCCTCCGAGGATGACAAGGGCGTTATTCATCTCCTTGTTCAGCTGCCTCGCTGCCATAAACCAGGCCAGCCTCATCAACCGCTGCGACCTGGCCAAGGTGCTGCACCAGGAGGATTTGGATGGGTTTGAGGGCTACTCCGTGAGTGACTGTGAGTGCCCTTCCCCCCGCCCCCATCTCTCCTGTCTTGGTCATCTCCTACTTGGCCATCTTTCTTTCTCGCTCTTGTCTTTGAAAGCCAAGTTCAAAACACAGCCCTCTCCAAGACACCTTTCCCAATATTCCATATTCATTCAGCAATTATTGATAGAATATTTATTATGTACCAGGAACTATTTTAAGTGTTAGGGATATGCTGTAAACAAAGCCACTTCTCTCAGAGTGTTCACATTCTGGGGAAGAGACAAGCAATGAACAAACACAAGATATATAAAGTACTTCCTGGTGTTGACAAGTACTATGCAGAAGAATAAAGCCCGGGGGGTGGGGTAGGTGATAGATAAAACTGTACTGGAAAGGGAAGTCAAGGAAGGCCTTTCTGAGGAGGTGACACTGAATGGTGCTTAATAAAGAAAAGGGCATGGTCATCCAAATGTCTAGGGGAAGAGCATTCCAAGCAGAGGGAACAGTCAATGCAAAGGCTTCATACTATTGCATGCTGGCGATATCTCCACTTTGCCCAGAATTTGTGCACACCTGTCCTACAACACATTCATCTTTTATTTGTGGTATTTGTAAGTCCATATCTTCATTCTTGTCCTATAGGCCATTTGAAGGTAGCATCTGTATTTGGCCCAGCTAAACGTCCCTCGCTGGGCTTTGCACAGTTCCTGGCACACAACTGGTGATTGTTAAGTGCCGGAAGATGGATGGAAAGATGAATCGTTAAACTGATGGGTGGGTTGATGGACCAAAGGATGGGAGGAGGAGATAGGAGGTGTTTCTAGCCCACCAGCCCCATCTAGCCTCTTTCTTTTGAGTCCTCATTTTCCCTTCTCCTTCATCTCCCTTCTCTCTCGGCTTGGCCTCCTCTAGCACCCACTTCTCTTTTTTCCCAAGGGCTGTGCCTAGCTTTTGTGGAAAGCCATTTCAATATATCAAAGGTAAATGAATATGCAGATGGCAGTTCTGACTATGGCATCTTCCAGATCAACAGCCACCACTGGTGCAACGATTACCAGAGTCACTCGGAAAACACTTGCCACGTGGCATGTAAAGGTCTGGCCAGGGCCCCGTGGGGGTTGGAGGGGGGAGTAAGTGGGTGGGGGGCAGGCGCAGGGGGAGGGAAGCGATGACCAAGTTTTACTCACAACACTTCTCTTTCCACTTGCAGTCTGAAAGTGTCCCCAGAGGGATGGCTCAAGGAATCAGGGGCTTTCTTTACTGAGTGGGTTTGACTAGTGGCCCTAATGCTCATCAGTTAGGAGATTCTTCTGTGTCCTAAGCAGGGTCCAGAAAGGCTCTGCACATCCTGCAGCAGCCAACATTTATTGAAAGTATGTTATGTACTAAGCACTTTACATGCATAGCTGATGTCATCCAACTTCCCATTCTATGAAAACTAGTATTCCCACTTTACAAAAGAGCAAACTGAGGCTTATCGAATTAGTGGTGGCCAGACTGATGATCCTGGAGGCTAATCAATAAGTGTCCTTCTATTTTTATTTTATTTATTATTGATGTTTTACAGAGAGGAAGGGAGAGAAATAGAGAGTTAGAAACATTGATGAGAGAGAAATATTAATCAGCTGCCTTCTACACACCTCTTACTGGGATGTGCCTGCAATCAAGGTACATGCCCTTGACTGGAATTAAACCTGGGATCCTTCAGTCAGCAGGCCGACGCTCTATCCACTGAGCCAAACTGGTCACGGCATAAGTGTCCTTCTAAAGCAATAAGTGGCTAACAATCTGACCAAAAGCCAAGGGCAAACTCCCCATTTCAGAGCTGATCCAGTAGACTCCACGGTTGCATGACTGCCCCTCACCTCATCTTTTGTATTCTGATTAACAACTCTGGATATTTACCTCAAGAGTCCCCTCAATTAGGCAGGATTTCACTGTGCTCTCTGTGCTGCCTATGTTGGCATTTTCTTTCCCTAAAAACTTCCGAAGTTTGGGTGAACCACCATCTACTCTGGCTAAAAACTATCATCGTAAACAGACCCAAATCTCAGTCTTCCTGTCCCCACCTCTGGCCACCCCGACCTCCAGCAGGCACTGGAGGGATGTCTAAAGGGGCCTGTAGGAGGGAGGCCTTGCTGCTCTGGAAGTACTCAGCCCCCAGGAAAAAGGCGGGGAGACCAAGAGTCTGCCTCAGCCTTCGGGACTGTCCTGTGCTCTCACAGGTATTCTCTCTCTCCTTTTCAGAACTGCTGAGCCCCAATCTTCTCGCAACCATCAAGTGTGCAAAAAAGATTGTGTCCAAAGCAGGGGGGATGAAGAACTGGTGAGGAGGATGCTGTAGGACTAAGTTAGCGGGCAGAGCCCCAAGAAGGGTGTGGGGGCGGAGAAAGGGACAGTAGGCAAGGACCAGACCTTTTCTGCAGTCTAGACAAGTGGAGGGTAGAGACAGGGCTTGGAACTCTGACGTGAAGGCCTGGGATCTAGCCCTTTCTCTGATATTAAAGTCTTTTGGCTGCAGTGACAAAACAATTTGACTAACTGAGGGAGAGTTGATCTGAGAAGACTCGGTGACTTGCTGAGCCCACCCCTTCTGTGGGCCTCAGGAACACAGTGGAAGTTGGGCTGGAAATTGGCAGGTTTCTGCTTCTCTTGGTGCATTTGCTTTACTAAACCCTCTGCAGACCAGCTTTCCCTGCTCCCGGTCTATAAGACAGATTATGCCACCTAAATTTATGATCTAATATCCCAAGCAACCACTGAGACTGGCTAAGTCCAGTCCCAGTCTAAGTGCCTGGGATACAGAATCCAATTGGCTCAGCTTCAACCCCATGTGCCCACTTGGTTCAATCAGCTGTAAAGATGGGAACAATTAAAGTAACGCAATCATGGCCGCCACAGGATTTCTCTCTCCATAACTGGCAGCAACATCTATATATATAAAAGGCTAAGTGACCATTGCATCCAAAACAAACAGGCTGTGTGGGGAGACCAGGTCAGCAGGGGGGTTAGAGAGGGGTGACCAAATGACTGAGCAGCAGGCTGCATGGGGCTACCAGGCCAAAAGGGAGGGGGGGGACACAGTTGGGGCAACTAGACTGGCAGAGGGAAGCAGTGAGGGGCAACCAGGTCGGCAGAGGGGGGCAGTGAGCAGTGACCAGGCTGGTGGGAGGGGGGCAGTTGGGGGCAACCACACTGGCAGGGGGTGCAGTAAGAGGTGACCAGGCTGAGAGGGGTGACAGGCCAGTGGGGAGATAGTTGGGGGTGACTATGCCAGCAGAGGGTCGGTTAGGGGCAATCAGGCAGTCAGGCAGGCAGTGAGCAGTTAGGAGCCAGTGGTCCCGGATTGTGAGGGGGATGTCTGACTGCCGGTTTAGGACAGTCATACGGATCGGGCCTAAACAGGCAGTCAGACATCCCCAGAGGGGCCCTGGATTGGGGAGGGTGCAGGCTGGGCTGAGGGGACGGCCCCTCTCCCCCCACGCACAAATTTCATGCACTGGTTCTCTAGTTTTCTATAAAAATGTGTTGCTCATCATCACCCCCAAAGTTATCAGCTTACCAACACTGGATGTTGGGATGGTTACTTAACTTTTCTGAGCTTTAAACTAGATACATAAATAATGTAAATGGATGTCTCTGCAGGCATCTGTGAGGTTGGAAGGAGTTAAGTGCCTTGTATACTCTAAAAACGCCTCACAAAACAAGAGGCATAATGACCGATAGGGCTGAGCCTTTCTGGAGGGATAGCCAATGGTTGAACCTGGAATATTTATATATTAGTAAGTCTCAGCCTGTAGAACAGTCTTCTCCCCCTTTAGAAGGAGATAAGGATTTTAAAATGTCAAGGCATACTGACCGGGGGGTGGGGGTAGGGGTGGGGGTGGGGAGAGGACAAATACCATGGACAAGGGAAACTTAAAGGAAAAATTAGAAGGGCTGCAGAAAGATAGATGAGAGAGCTAGGAATGAAGTTGCTCTGTGTGGAAGACTGACTAAGAGCTGGGCCACGTGTGTGGGAAGCAAGAACCACTCTTCTTCTCTCCACAGGGCAGCATGGTCGATACACTGTGCCGGCCGGCCACTCTCCTACTGGGTAACGGGATGTCACATGGGATGAGGCAGGGGCAGGCCTGCTGTGGAGTCATTCTAAAACTCCTCTCCTCCCATGCGGATTCTTCTTCTTGCCTCCACTTCATGTTATTTTCTTCCCTTCCCATTTACAAATAAAACTGACCAGAGCCCCAGGAATAAATGGTTTTTTTAGGGCTTACTCCTTGTTCCCATCCAGGCCCAGGCCCCTGGTTCCTGACTGTCATTTGTAAACTAAGAGGACCACAATGAAGATGTTTCTGAATTTTGGGAATTATTAAAACAGTCTTTGTGCAAAGAATGTGTTCATTATTCATTCCACGTATCTGAGAGTACCTAATGTATAGTAGGGGTATTGTTAGGTGCTAGAAGAAGGAGGGCGAAACCTAACCATTGTTCTTTTTTTTTTTTAAATGTGAATTTTTTAAAAATATATTTTATTGATTTTCACAGAGAGAAAGGGAGAGGAATAGAGAGCTAGAAACGTCGATGAGAGAGAAACATCGACCAGCTGCCTCCTGCACACCCCCCACCAGGGATGTGCCCGCAACCAATGTACATGCCCTTGACCAGAATTGAACCTGGGACCCTTCAGTCCACAGACCGACGTTCTATCCACTGAGCCAAACTGGTTTTGGCATAACCATTGTTCTTGAGGTGTTCATAATCTAGGTGGAGAAGCAGACACACATGGGAATGGTGGGTGCACAAATGAATGGATACACACCTTCCAGCCCCTTCCCCCAAAACACCCCCACATCAATGGCACCGAGCACCACTTCTCCACTCCACCACTACTTTCTTCACCTTAGTATAGCTGACTTTTAACCCCACCCATTACCTACTTCTGAGCCTTCCTTCAAAAATACTTGGCTGAAGAGGAAATACTGTGGTCCTGATACTGTTTCAAACCAGTAATTATAGATTTTATTACCCATTTCGTTATCCAGTGTATCCTCCATTCTCTCCTACTGATAAGAGGACGACAGAGATGGGATGATGCATCAAGCTTGTTGGTTGGGCAGATCCAAATTCTCATCGCCACCTTTGGGACAAGGGGTGGTAACCAGATAAATAGATATATACAGTGGTATTCTAACAAATGTTCAACAACCAGTACTCAAAAAGAACTCACAAACACAAATCCTAATTTGTAGCCTTTAACAATCTTAGTGATGTAAAAACACAATGAATGTTTTCAAGCTACCAAACTGATATCACTAAATGCAAAGTTGGGAAGAGATGGCTAACCCATATAAGCTAGCTGAGGGTAACACGGGATATTTAACTCAACGTCAGGTGGTGATACATACCATAAAGAAAAGAAAGCCCAATACTTTTTAGTCAGGAAACGCCTTTCTGAGGTATTAAAAGACTACCATTTATTGCACACCTGTAGGTGGAAGTTACACTCACTTCCTCCTAGCGCCAAAGGGATTTACATCTTATATAGATCAACCAACCTGAACAGCCCACTGAAGCCTAGCTGAACAGAAATATTACCAATGATTTACAGAAGAAGCCACATAGGAACTGAATAATATGGAATGTAAACTGTAATTGAAAAAATAATTTAAATATAAATATAAATATATATATATATATATATATATATATATATATATATATATATATATATATATATATATATATATATATATATATAATGTCATTCTTTTTTGACAGATGAGAAACTAGGGAAAATGTTCTGAGAACCAACCTGGGAAGACATTTGACATGGAGACTTAGGAGAGGGGTAGGGTGGAGAGACGAAACAGGTGATTTACTCTCTCCCACTCTCACTGCTCCCTCCTGGTTGGGGAAGCAAGAACACAGGCACGGTTGGTAGGACATGAGAAAAGTCTAGTTTGCTCAAGCCTGTGACTTGTATGTGACGGTGGCACACTAAAGTGACTTTTCGGATCCTGGCAGAGAGTCTCGCCAAACCCATCTCTCGGCTCACCCAGAAGGGCCCGGAGAGGTCCGGTAGGATCCTGAGCCGGCGAGGAATCGAGGTCCAACGCCAAACACGCTCCTCGGCCCCAGGCGGGAAGGCGGCTGACTCCCGCGCCAAAGGCGCGCGTCTTCAGGCCGTACCACGAGATGAAAAAGCACGGGGGAAGACAACCCCATGTTTTACTGATAGGGCCATTATTTTCTGCAACAAACCCTTCCCCTCCCTTTGTTTTAATTTCTATTCAGCTGTGATTAACAAATGGGCTTTCTCTGCCTAGCAGGACACAAGCAGGACCCTAACTTACCTACCTTGATCTTCCTCGCGCACCCCTCCTCTCGTTTTAGCTTCCTGCTCGCCTCACTTGCTTCAGCCAACCCTTGCTAAGATTCTGCGTTACGTCACGAGTTTCTAGGCAGATCAGGAGCGTCCTCGCGCGCCCCCGCCTGGTGGCGCCTCCTCGAGCGACCAAACGGTCTGAGCGCGTGGCGGTAGCAGAGAGGCTGCCGGCGAGGCGTGCGAGGCCCGTGAGCTGAGCGAACGACCCGATGGGCGACGGGAGCGGCGAGGCGCGGCCCTCAGTGAGGATTTAGGCTTGGTTTTGTTTGCTCGGGTTTATGCCGGTGTCTCCTCGTGGATCTATAGCGGTCTGGCCTCATGGCCAGCTTGGCCTCCTCACACTTGAGTGGGCTGGAAACCCCAAGGAGCACAATAGGACTTGGATAGGATAGGGCCCATAGCTCAGTTGTGAGGAGTGAGTTCTCTGAATGTTTAGAAAGGAACTGAGCCTTAGTGGGTAACATTGCCACGAGAGTGCCAATTCCCAGAGGGGACTGGTGCCTGGGAGATGAGGTAGGTGGGCTTGGAGTAGCTAAAGGGGACTGTGGGAAAGCTTTCATCAGACATTTAAAATTTACCTGAGCGAGATCTTTCTCATTGCACCTGGTTTTCTCCTTCCTTCTTGTTGTAGAATTTTCAGTCCGCCGACTACCTGTAGCTCTGGGCAATGTCCACTCTGCATTTTAGTTGTATTCCATTGAAACTGTTGTGTGTTGCTGCGGTTAGATGTCTACCCGAGCAGCCATCTTGGATCCTCCCCTCCTTGAAGGAGGATTTGAAAGGAAAAGCTTAGTATGGTTTGGTGGAGAAAAGAGGAGTGGACACTTTACATTTAACTCAGCCCAAGTAGTAACCCATTGGTGAGCATGGAAGCAGATCGGGAAAAGACGGATTATCTTGAGGGATGTTTCAGAGAGATCGTGAAGAAAGAGGCCTGAGGAAACTTTTCTCCCTTACATCAGAGGCTGGGCCTCTGGGGACCACTTTCTAGCTTCAGGCTCACTGTCTGCAGGACAGTGCTAGATAGACACCGTCAAATTTTATCCCTCTTCACCTTGTTTTTCATGTTTCCATGCTAATAGCCTTCTTCTGTTGATTCAAATAGAAGCAAACATGTAGACAGACAAGTTCGATACAAGCTTATACAGGACTTGCGCTTAATAGTCCCGATTATTTTCCTGCGTCTTTTGGCTATATGTAAATATCAATATGTATAAAGCAACCGAAAATACAAGCAAGATGTATCTTTTAATATCACCCACACCACTGATACTCTTGCTGCAGTTTCTCCAAACTATGTAAGGTTTCAGGAAAGGAGCTGGCTTTAAAAAATACCAAAGAATAATTTTTTGTATCTTTTTTGTATCTTTTTTTTTTTTTTTTTGTCACTTGCTCCAGCATTGCTCTTCTCATTCTCTCCAGCTGTTGGCCTTCCTCATAAGGATGGAAATGCTACTGTTTGGTGTCTGGGCCCTGCTGGCTTTGATCTCTTCCGCAGGTGAGGCTCTGTGGGAAAGTTTCTTTAGCCAGAAAAGGCTAGGAAGTCCTGAACAGGGCAACACGCATGCCCCCTGGACTCAGGAGAAATTCCTACTCCTTGGTGCCTTTGGCTATATTGGGATAAGCCAGCGCTGTCCTACTTTTCTGCTCTTAAAAATATTTTTACTTCTTTGTTGTCACCCTTTGTGTCATGAAGAGCCACAATAGGACTTGGATAGGATAGGGCCCATAGCCCAGTTATGAGGAGTGAGTTCTCTGAATGTTTAGAAAGGAACTGAGCCTTAGTGGGTAACATTGCCACGAGAGTGCCAATTCCCAGAGAGGACTGGTGCCTGGGAGATGAGGTAGGTGGGCTTGGAGTAGCTAAAGGGGACTGTGGGAAAGCTTTCATCAGACATTTAAAATTTACCTGAGCGAGATCTTTCTCATTGCACCTGAGATTTCTCTAGCAGATAACCTCTTACGCATTCAAAAACACCTGTTGCTTTAGCACCAGAGCAAAATGGAACCGCCTCACTTTGAGGTGACAAGTTCCATGGAAAATGAGTGCCCCTGGGAGTCACATTTAGAAACTAGTGGTTCTCATAATCCACTGTGCAGAAGGGTCACCAAGAGTGCTTGCATTTTTCCAGGCCCCACCTTCACGCGTTTTTAACCATTCAGTCTGAGGTGGAGCTAGAATTTGTAGTTTTACAAGCATTCCAGGTGATTCTGGTGACAGTCATTTTTAGGCCATATGGTTTGAGAGAAACACTTCTGTGAGATATAACAAAACTCTTTTTCAGGGCTTACTAATCCCAGCAGCCAATTGGGTCTTCAGCAGCCAAACCTGAGAGCTTCAAAGATTTCTGAAAATTTAGGAAGAGAATGGCTCCTTGGGCATAGTTTTTTAGCAATCCCATAGTTTCCACAGTGACACTAATGGGGAAATCACATCCCCAAATAGATGATGAGTGGAGGGAATGATGGTGGAATCAGAGTCCTAACTTGTTTATTAGGGTCTTTTTGTCCAGTCCCCGTTTCCATTCAGGGTAGGTTTCCTATTCTCTGCTACTAGATAACTAGGCTCTGTAGTTTGTGAGGGTCTTGTGGTCTTCACCAAAGTCTTTGGCATATATGATTGATCGTTTCAGGGGCCACAGAGGGGCCATTTGAGGTCTCTGTTTGGCCAGACCAGGCCCTGGTAAAGTGTGGAGAATCCCTAGTGGTCAACTGCAGCACTAACTGTCCGGACCCAGGACCCAGCGGAATTGAGACCTTCTTAAAGAAAACCCAGGTGGGCCGAGGGCCTCAGTGGAAGGAGTTTCTCCTGGAGGATGTCACCAAGAATTCCATTCTGCAGTGCTTCTTCTCTTGTGCAGGGATCCAAAAGGACAGAAGCCTGGGCATCACCGTGTATCGTGAGTGGGGCTGAGGGCTGGGCAGGAAGAGGAGAATGGGGGAACGTGACTGCCTTCTTTAGGGAAATATTAGACAGAACTTTCTTTTAGGGGAGAGAGGGTTCTTAATAAAGATTTCCATCATACTGTAGGAATTGTAAGAGCCAATTACTTCTCTTTACCTTTGGTGTAGGCTTTTAAATTACTAGAAGCATACCATAGAGTGCATCCAGACCTCTGTGCTGGAGAATACATTCAAATACAGGGGGGAATATGCTAATAATGCTCACTTATAAATGATCAAAAAAGTATAAAATGAGTGCTGAATTATTTGCCACAAATCCTTCCAGTAAATTGGGACTGGAGATGGACTGCCTCTGTGGCCTGGGTTGGAGAAGTGTTCACGGGAGAGGAGACACTTGAGCTTCACTCCTGTGGACTGGTTGGGACTGGAAGTGACGGAGGTGGTGAGAAGGGTCTTTCGGTGGGCAATCGCATTGGCAAAGATGTGGCTTTAAGAATAAGTGTGATCACTGTGGGGTAAGAGCATGGTTAACTTGGGTGTAGATTTTGTGTGATGTTAAGGAGCTCCTCAGAAGCTGCTCACACCTCTGAAGTAAGAGATAAAAGCTCTCCGAATGGCAGCACCATCAAAGCAAGGCGCCCCTCTGTATCCAGTTCTTGGTTATGGCTGTGGCCCCCTTTCATGGGCGGAAGAGCCAGAGCTAACATGACCTGTCTGACACTTTGATCAGATGGTTTAATGGTAGCAGTCACCTTCTGTCTAGGCTCCCTGTCCTATACCATTTCTTTCTGGAGAGGTGAGTAGCCTTCTCTCAGCAAGCCTGCATTTTTGTCTTAAAGAGCCCCCGGAGCAGGTGATCCTGGAGTTGCTGCCTGCGTGGGTGGCCTTGGACGAAGTCTTTACAGTGAAGTGCCATGTGCCCAGGGTAGCACCCCTGGAGAACCTCACCCTCACCCTTCTCCAGGGTAACCACGAACTACACAGAAAGACCTTTATGAGTTTGGCTGTGGCCTCCCAAAGAGCGGAGGTCACCATCATTGCCAAAGCCCAAAGAGAGGATCACAGGTGCAATTTCTCCTGCCACGCGGAACTGGACCTCAGGTCGCATGGCGGTGGGCTCTTTCACTCCAGCTCCGCCAGCAAGCTGCTCCAGACTTTCGGTGAGTTGGAGCTCAGGGGTGGAAGGAATCCTGAGGCTCATTGTCCTTATCTTACTTTGACCTTTGGGACCGAGTTCCCACAGGTTTAGGATGAGGGAGTGAGGGTGTGAGCTTCACCTCATCTTGGGCTTTAAACTCACCATGGGGGACAGAGAGCTTGTTGCTCTCCTCCCTTCCCACATCGTGGGTCCTATGTGACATGATTTACCACGGCTTTCCTCCTTTCTTTCCTTGTCCTCATTTGTTGGCAGAATTTTCTCAGCATCCCAAAATCTGGGTCTCCCCAGTTATGGAGGCCGAGACAGCAGAGACTGTGAGCTGTGGGATGGCTAGAGTGTTCCCAGCCAAAGAGTTAATGTTCCAGATATTCTTGGGAGACCAGGAGCTGAGCCCCTTCCTCTCCTGGGAGGGAGACACTGCGTGGGCCAATGCCACTGTTCGGGCCATGGAGACTGGTGATCACGAGCTGTCCTGCCGCGTATCTCTGGGTCCGATGGAACAGAAGACCAGAGAGCTGGTGCACGTCTATAGTAAGTTACCGGCTTCTTCCCTTCCCTTCTCTGCCCTTAAAAACGTCTGCAGTAAAGCCTTGAGGATTTCCTGATCAGTGCAGGCAGATTGGAAATATGAATAGAGACAGGAGCTCTTTCCAGCCTTTATCCTGTTTGCTTAGGCCCGTGGTCAGCAAACTGCGGCTCTCGAGCCACATACGGCTCTTTGGCCTCTTGAATGTGGCTCTTTCACAAAATACCATGCCCTGGGTGAGTCTATTTTGAAGAAGTGGCATTAGAAGAAGTTAAAGTTTAAAATTTTTTGGCTCTCAAAAGAAATTTCAGTCATTGTACTGTTGATATTGCGCTCTGTTGACTAATGAGTTTGCCGACCACTGGCTTAGGCCACTCTACTCAAATGCTTGCACTCTTCCAGGAACAGCCATTTGAGGGGAGGAGGAAATCTGTAGGATGAAAAGACATCTTGCTAGCCTTGCCAAGCCACATTTGTTGTAGGAAAAGCTCTCGAATTCCCAAAGCACCTTGCTGCTCCTGCCATTCAGCCCAAAGCAGTAACAGTCTCCACGCTCTTCCCTTGTCTGTCTACCCGGGGGACGCCCGCAGCAGCAAGAGTGCCCACGTGGCTGCCAGTCTGGAGACAGATGTGTGGTGGTCTTTTTCCTCGTAGGCTTCCCTCCACCCGTCCTTGAGATAGAATTACACCCACTGGCAGGGACGGATATCAACGTGACCTGTGCAGGGCATGTGCTAACGTCACCCAGCCCTACTCTGCGACTGCAGGGAGCCCCACACCTCCCTGCCCCCGGGGAGCCTGCCTGGCTTTCCCTCACCACCAGGGAGGAAGATGACGGCCGGAATTTCTCCTGTGAGGCTTCTTTGGAGGTTCAGGGTCAACGGCTGATCAAAACCACCACAGCCCAGCTCCATGTCCTATGTGAGTACCGGCCCTAGCTTCCTTTTCAGAGAAAGGGATATTACTGTCCCATTTCCGGAGAGCTGGGCCAGCAGCTTCATTATTAGAGTTCCCACATTTTTTTTTTCTAATTAAAAAAACAAAAGAATAAATTAAATCAAAGCTCTTCATGGTGACCTTACATCCGGCAAAGTGGTGGGGAGAAATGTGAGGGAACTGGGAACAGAAGAGAGAGCACAGTTATAGTAATCAGGTGGGGCCGATGACTGAGAACCCAGGAAATAATAGTTAAGAGTTTATGCTGAGAAAGCAAATTTCCAACCAAAAAATCTGTGCTTTGAAAAATAGAACATGCTCACCTCTGGTTCACCACTACTCACATTCTCACTCACCGAGAAGCAGGGCCCCCAGAGCCACCACTAATGAAGCAGTCAGATCGTTTAGTCATAGTCCGTTAAAATGCCTGGTGCTGCACCTCGGACTCCTTGCCAGTAGGGACGGGAAGGAAAGGAGAGAGGCTCAAAGCAGGGAGCTGATGGTCCTCCCCTTGGGGGGAGGGGACACAGCATTTGGATTAGAGAGAGAGGTGAGCATGACCAGTGAGGAGGGGAGGGGCACACTGAACTCTCTTCCTTCTGGGTCTCTTTTCCACCCAGACAAGCCAAGGTTGGAGGAATCTGGTTGCCCTGGCAACCAAACATGGATGGAAGGCATGGAACAGACACTTGCCTGTGTCCCAAAGGGAAACCCGACTCCATCGTTGGTGTGTACCTGGAATGGAGTGATCTTCGACCTTCAAATGCCACAGAAGGCAACCCAGAACCACACTGGAACCTACTCCTGCACGGCCACTAACCAGCTGGGCTCCGCCAGCAAAGACATTGCTCTCACTGTTGAAGGTGACTGTGGCTCCCCTGCTGCTAGGCCCAGGATGGGAGTCCCCCAGGGGGGTGGGGTCTCATCCAAACATGGGAAGAAGGAAGACTGCAGTGGGCTGGGAGGAAGAGACTGGGAACTGGGCTTGGTGGGCTGGGGCAGGTGATCCTCCTTGCCCTTGACCCTTCCCAATTCCGTCTTCTGTGTTTGGACAGAACTGAATGAAGACATCATCTCCATCGTCGTCATTCTCATCGCCGCCCTCGGAATAGGCACATTCACCCTTGCTCTGTATTTTAACTATCTGCCCTGCAAGACAGAGAGGAGGAAATCGCCCTACCGGCAGACGGAGGAGAACCAAGAGGAGGGAAGCCAGTTTGCTGTCCAAGCAGAGACATGCAACGCACATGACATGACTGTTATATAGAACATGTTTGGTTGAAGTGACTTTATCACTGAGTTTTCTAAGGGAGGAAAGTGGGGAGGAGAAAGGACGAGACCTCTGTGTCAGGCTGTCCCATAAAGCCTCTATGGGCCCAGGCCTTGTTTCCGATCCAGCTTCACTGTAGTCACTAGGATTGTCAGTCTGTGTTCACAGAGAGGACCCTCGATCCTTGCTGTGTGCCTCACCAGCCCCCAGGTCAAATAAAGATGATGATGCTGTCTGTGTCTCACCTTTCTATTACCACTGCCCTTTGCTCCCAAATATCAGACTGAAGAGAGAAATGTCTCAGAAATGCACCTCATTTATCATGGTTTCCTCCTAACTAAGTGGAGACCAACAGGCCATCATCCAGCCTCCCGGCTCTCAACCAGCCGAAGCCAGCAAGTTCCAAACCACCTCTGTTCCCTCCGCCTCCGGGAACGCTCCTCCTGGAGCCCCACAGGAAGCGCCCTGACCCGGCTTGCCCGGTAGAGGGAGCCCGGAACCGGCGGAGAGGACGGACCTGCACCGGAGGCCTCCCGCCCCCTCGCGGCCAGTGCCCGGGGGAACCCATGGTCCCTGCGGGGCGACGAAGGCCCTGGCTTACCGGGCAGGGCTTGGCCAAGGCGGGCCACGGGACCCGAAATGTGCCGGCAGCCCCGGAAGGAAGCAGCGGCAAGCGCTGCGGGCCCTTCGGTTTCCGCGCCCCCAACGGCGCCCGCCGACAGCGTCCCCGCGCCCAGCACCGCGCTTACAGGGGCCGCGCCTGGGCTGCAGGGCGGGTCCTAGGCTGCAGGGCGGGCTCCACGGGCTCCGCTCCAGCCTTTGCCAGGCCAGGCTGCCTACAGACTGCACCGCCCAAGGCCTCTGTCCACCTTCGCTAATCCTCTGTGAGAATTTTCAAAAGTTACCATTTTATTTATATTAAAAATATATCTTTATTGATTTCAGAGAGGAAGGGAGAGGGAGAGAGATAAAAACAGCAATGGTGTTCTACCTAGTTTGGCTCAGTAAATAGAGCGTTGGCTTGCGGAGTGAAGGGTCCCGGGTTCGATTCGGGGGTCAAAGGCAGTTGGGGGTGCATGAAGGAGGCAGCCAGTCAATCTGTCTCTCTCACATCAAGCCCCCCTCCTTCCCTTCCACTCTCTTGGAAAAGCAATAGGAAAAAAACCGCCACATGGCTGAGCATCGACCTATGAACCAGGAGGTCACGATTGGATTCACTGCCAGGGCACAGGCCTGCATCCCAGGTGTGGGGCTTGCAGTAGACAGCTGGTCAATGATTCACGATCATCATTGATGTTTCTATCTCTCTCTCTCCCTCTCCCTCTCTAAATCAATAAAAATATATTTAGAAGGAAAAAAAAAAAAAATAAAAAAACCTCCACACATCCATAGGTGAGGATTAACGAAACAAACAAAAATCAACCAAAACAACAGACTCTTGCCTGGATCCCTCACCAGACCAATCAAATCAGAATCGCAGGGAGTGGAGGCTACCACCAAAGTTGTTCAGAAAACATCCCAGGCGTTTATAACTTCCAGTGGAGGTTGCCATTCACTGCCCCATTGAAGAGCTGAACGGAAGAAGAACATTGTTTTTTATTTTATTTTATTTTATTTTATTTTATTTTATTTTATTTTATTTTTTGTCAGAGTCTAGAGTAGAGATGGCCTATAAGGTCTTTTTAAATTCTAAAATTTTTACAAAATCAGTTAGCATCTTTAAAATTTTCAGCTGTCAGGGGTAGAGTTGGTTCAGCTATACCCGGAAGGAACTGAGCAGATAGATGCTCCTCGCAGTGTGGGCCCCTGCAGCTGATTGCTATCATGACATTTTAGAATCGTCTTACTCGTGTCCTCTCCTGCCACAGTCACTCTTTTAACACCATAAAACCTCAATATCATGGACTAATCCGGGGCAAGGGGTGTCTGTTAAAGCCAAAAGTCGTTATATAATAAAGAAGGTTGTCTGAATGCGTACGTCAAAAAACTGACAAATTAGTTTACCTGCTTTTACGTATTCAGACACCTTTATGTAATTAAAATGAAAAGTTTAAATTAGCAGAAAAGTCTATACTTATTACTATAATTTTAAATTTATGCTAAATAGGTCTAGTGCAGTGTGCAGGAGACAGCCAATCAATGATTCTCTCTCATCCTTGATATTTTTCTTCTTCTTCTCTGAAATCAATAAAAGTGTATTTTTAAATGCTTACATTCTGATTTAAAAAATAAATAAGTAAGTCTAGTACAGTGGTCGGCAAACTGCGGCTCTCGAGCTGCGGTTTGCCGCTCTGTTGACTAATGAGTTTGCCGTCCTCTGGTCTACTAAATCGTGCATGTTCACCAGTCACCTTGAGTGAACAAATGCACACAGCTGAGGCGGGGCCTCGTGCTTCTCAGAACACCTGCCAGCATGTCCAGGTGACAACAGAACCAAGTTCGGCACGGGACGCAGTGTGATCACGTGCTAATCATTGGTCAAACATTGCTTATGAGTGACTTGGGTTTCAATATGTAGACTAGTTGTAGTTCTGTAAAACATTTACTTCTGTTGGCGAAATTACTACAGTGTTTTTTCCCAACATAGGGCCTATTCGCTAAAATTGGTTAAAGATAAGTGACTTCATAACAAAAAGATAACCTGTTAACTAAAGTTTTAGCAAATCTTGGTTAAAAGCATTTTATAATGAACAGGGTGTTAATCTTCACGTAAGACATACAGACTGGAAATTTTGTCCGTTAAATTCGAAGTCTGTTAAATCAAGATCCACAAAATTGAGGCTTTACTGTACTTCTTAAGATGGCTCACATTTTCTTTAAAAAAAAAATTTTATTGATTTTTTACAGAGAGGAAGGGAGATGGATAGAGAGCTAGAAACATCAATGAGAGAGAAACATCGATCAGCTGCCTCCTGCACACTCCCCACTGGGGATGTGCCTGCAACCAAGGTACATGCCCTTGACTGGAATCGGACCCCTCAGTCCGCAGACCGACGCTCTATCCACTGAGCCAGATCGGTTTCGGTCCAAAGCCATTTTTGCCTGGTTCCCATTTCCCAAGGATAGTGGAGCCTAATGTGTATTTCCCTTCAGATTTCTGTTCAAATGTAATTCTATGATTTCTCTCATTGTTTTCTCACATGCCAGGGTGTTTTGCTTCTGTGCTTAACAGCTGTCACGCCTTTTATTTATTTATTATTTATAAATCTTTATTGTTCACATTATTACAAATGTTCCTCGTTTCCCCCCCCCTCCATTGCTCCCCTCCACCAGGTTCCCACTACACCCTCTGCTCTTTCCCCACCCCCATTGTCCTCATCCATAGGTGCACAGTTTATGTTCAGTCTCTTCCCACACCCCTCTCTCCCCTTTTCCCCGAGAATCGTCAGTTTACTCCCCTTCCATACCTCTGATTCTAGTATATTCACCAGTTAATATTGTTCATCAGATTTTGTTTAGATTCACTGGTTTTTGGTTTTTAGATTCACTTGTTGATAGTTACTGCTGTCACGCTTTTGTTTCTTCCCACTCTTGGGGGCTAGGTTTTGGGTTGGGGTGCTGGGTGGGTGGTACTTTCTAAGGGTGGCCCTGACCTATGACTGCTCAGTAAGCAGGGACCACGGACCTGGGGAGTGGACTGGCGTCCAACAGAGAGGGATGAAGGGTCAGCTTCTAACTCAGGAAGAACCTGGTCAGGTATGCAGCGGCTATTTTGTGTGTGTGTGTGTGTGTGTGTGTGTGTGTGTGTGTCTGTGTTTTGTAAATATGTTTTTATTGATTTCAGAGTCGGGAATGGAGAGAGCATTAGGAACATCAACAAGAGAGAAACATTTATCCGCTCTCTCCTTCACGCCCCCTACTGGGAATCGAGCTTGCAACCAGGGCATGTGCCCTGACCAGGATTAGAACCAGCAACCTCCTGGTATAATACAATGGATGACAGCTGGGTGCGGCCTGGTTCTCAACAGACCCCACAGGATTCCCACAGGTTGTCCTCCCAACCTGCCCCTTGCCCTGTTCGGATCCCCCACCCCTTTCACCACAGAACGACTCCTCCTCAGACAGGCTGATGCAGATGTGTTTTATTGGGAAAGGGTGGTGGGCGCGGGAGGGACCCTCTCCGGGTCGGGGAGGCCCTGGGGCGGGTCGCAGAGCTGCCCGGCGGCTAGAAGGCACAGCCGCTCTCCATGAAGCGGCGGCACTTGGTGAACCGCAGGTACGTCTCCACCTTGTGCAGGTCCTTCTTGAAGCAGGAGAGCAGCCCGTAGTTCTTGAGCACGGTGTCGCCACCCCGCAAGCTGGTGTCAAACCGGTCGTAGGTTTGCGTGAGGATCAGCCCCGAGTGCGGGCTGCCATCTTCCAGCTCCTGCGAAAGGGAAGGAGAGACAGGAACTCAGCCCTGGCCAGCTGCGCCTCCCTCTGCCTCCATATCCCTCCCTCCCACCCCAGGGCTTAGAGGAGGCTGGGGAGGGACCCCAGGGGAAACGAGGAGGAGGGTTTCTCCTGGGTCAAGGCTGGGCTGCTGCAGAGAGCGGCAGCATCTCTCTTCTCCAGCCCGTGTGCGTTCCCGCGCCCTCAGCTGAGCCAGCCGGGGCTCCGGGCCCAGGGACGGGCGAGCAGGCCCCAGCGTGGGCACCCACAACGCCGTCCCCACCTGCATCAGGGCTTGGATGCCCTCCTCCAGGTCCTTCAGCTTCTCGTAGATGCCGCTGGAGATGCCCAGCAGCAGGCCGCTGGCGAAGGCCCTGCTGAGGGACTGCATGGGCCCGAGCCAGGACTGGATGAGCAGCAGCGAGAAGCGGAGCAGCTCCGAGTCCTGCGGGGAGAGGGCGGACGGTGGGCACCTGGCAGCCCCGCCAGCGGCCGGCCTCAGCAGGCCTCCCCATCCCTCCACCCTCCGCCACCTCCGCCACCTCCGCCACCAGAGGAGAAGGCGCCCGGGCGGGGCGTCGGGGGCCACTCACGGATTTCTGCCGCGCCTCCTCCTTGCCCGTGGG